TTATTGCGCGCGCAACTAGGTAAGAGAATTATTGCGCGCGCAACTAAGAAAAATGCGTGCGCAACTAAGAGAGAGGGATAACTCCTGTATACTTTCATATGTTTATCTATGAAATATAAAATATATTTAAATGATAAAATTCATCACGTACATATAATCCTATCTTTTACATATCAATAAATATAATATGCATTTTACAATCACAATATAATTATTAACGATAAGATTATATAAAGATGCCACTGATCAAAAGAATGTCGACCAATAGAAATGCATCTACAGATAATAAAACTACTTTTATAAATAAATATTTCGCGGTCATTTAAAGCCCAATTCACAGTACCGATTGGATAATATTGTTCTTATCTCATTTTTTTACATGCTGTCTACTTTATCTTCTTTTTATATTTATTACATAATTAATAGATAAAGACGCGTGTGTACATTTCCAAAATGTAAATAGAAAATAATCGAATAAAAATGCGAACAAGATCACGTCATCTTATCAATCAATAATAAATCTTATAAAGGCTTATAAAATATAATATCAAATGAAATGAGAGCTAAGAAAAATGATTGAAAACTTTGCAAAATTTTTAATTAATCTGATAGAGACTGATACGCAGAATACGTGACCAAAGACGCAAATCATTTACTGTTAGCTTGCATCATCAAGATCACTGGAATTCAGATATAATCATGCGGTGTAAAATAATACGATATTACAGTTTATTTTCCAAAGAAAGCAAAAAACATTTATCAAATAGAACTTCTTTCTGTTCTTACAATCTCATTCATTGCACAATTAATTAAACAGGTGAGACGATAATTTTAATATTTGTTTATATTACTTCTTTTTTTTTATATACGTAATAACGAATCGATTTTATATAATATGCACGATGTAAATACCTGATGTTTATGTCAACATTTACATTAAAGTAACTCTTGATCACGTTTTGACACGAATACATTCACTTAAAATAATTCACAAAATAAAATATTTCTTATTAACTAAGATACTTTTCTACTTGTTGATTATGTCAATTATTTGTTATCCATTATGAAAATATTAAAAATAATATAAAAGTTTTATACATATCTAAAATAATTTGTAATTAATAATGATATGCTTTGTCACACAGCACATCAATCACATTTTATTAAGGATGATCATCCTCATAACATGGTTCTTTTTTTTACATCGAATCTTGGCAGAACAATCTATCGTAGAAGAATGGTCTGTAAATGTAAAAAACAGTTCTATCAGTGTAACAATGGAAGAAACAAAAACAATTCCATTTTATGTTATTGTCAATTCAAAAAATTTGGATAATTTAAGTTTTAATTATGTAAGCACATCGCCAGAAATTGCAACAGTAACTGGTGTTATTACTTCCAAAAATAACAATTATTGGAATGGAACAATTAATGTAACTGGTATCTTTTTGGGTACTGCAAAAATTAAATTACAGCTTGTGAGAAATAATGTGAGTTAATTAATCTAATTATATTGTAACATTAATTCTTTTTTTTTTTTTTATATTATATTGATTACTTAAATTGATCTTTTTAGAACACAGAAGAAAAAGAGGTTCTTTCTGTAACAGTAATGCGTTACCAGGGTGCAATAGATAAAATATTTACTGCAAGTGTTGGAATATTAGTATCTATCCTTTATATTAATTTTGGTTGTGCCATGGATTGGGATGCATGTAAAAAAACATTAAGAAAACCAGTTGGTCCTGCAATAGGATGCTTTTGTCAATTCTTCTTCATGCCTTTGGTAATTTGTCTAATAATAAAAAATATTAAATGAATCAATCAAGTTTATTTCATTATTATTCATAATGAAATATTATTTTTTCACAGTTGAGTTATGGTATCGGATATTGTTTATTTTCTGATCAACCTGAACTACAGATAGGCATGTTTTTCACAGGAATAAGTCCAAGTGGAGGAGCATCTAATGTTTGGACTGTAATGTTAGATGGAAATTTAAATCTTTCTGTCACTATGACTACTTTATGCACTATACTTGCTTTTGGTAATTATACATATTTATATATAAAAATATATCATATAGTTTAATAATTATAATTTTGTATTATTCATGTAGGATTTATGCCATTTTGGTTATTTACTCTGGGAAAACATATCTTTGATCGTGGAGAACTTCGTGTACCTTATGATCATGTAGCAATGTTTGCAGTTGGTCTAATATTTCCTTTATTGATAGGATTTTGTATACAAAAGAAATTACCAAAAGTGTGCAAATTTATGATCAAAATAATCAAACCACTTTCAGCTATTTTTATAATATTCATCGTTATATTCGCCATCTTTACTCATCTATATTTATTTCAATTATTTTCATGGCGGGTGAGTTTTATAATATTTCTTTTATTTAATGTATTATTACATTACATGTAATATAAATTATAAATTTGTAGATCATAGTAGCAGGTATGGGTTTACCATGGTTGGGATTTATTTTTGGTATGTTAGTAGCATTAATATTCAAACAATCTCGACAAGATATTATAGCAATAGCAATCGAAACAGGAATACAAAATACAGGCGTTGCTATTTTTCTACTTAGATTATCATTAAAATCACCTGCCGATGATTTGACTACGGGTAAGTTGAAAGTGAAAATAAATGATTCTCGATAATTGGTAAGTTATATGTCATTATATTATTTATCATTTGTTAATTGTTTTTTTCCAGTACTACCTGTGTCTTCCGCTATAATGACCCCAATACCATTAACGATTTTATATCTACTGAAAGTAATATTTAATTGTAGACGTAAACACCAAAAAGTTAATAACACTTCTGAATCATTTGAAAATTCTGAAATTCATGCTGAACCACCTACTTCTGTAGTTCAAAGTAATTAGCATTGAAATTAATAAATTATACTAATAGGTATATTTTTTCATTTACAGAAATGGTGCAATAATACTTGCTATAAAAAGATTAACAAATATTATTATATAGATCTATAAAATTCATCATCTATTTTGTACTATATTGTTATAAAATTATTAGAGTAAAAAAAAAAAAAAGAAAAAAGAAAAAACATATAATTTTATCATTATTTATAAAAGTTGTCCATTAAATTATTAACAAACCTAACTAATGCCACTAATTTGTATATTTTTTTTTGCTTATTTATTTATTTTTTTAAATAAAAACATATTTTATATTAATAAAAATCAATTATATGAAAAACCTACCGTTGATAGACAAAATGAAATGTACACTTAACCTGTAATATAAAATATTTTCATATGTAATTATTTTATATAAATGTTTGAAATTTTACATTTTAATTCAAATAAAACGATGAAAAATAACCTAAATATTCATACATAATATTTTGATAAAGATAAAGTATGTTTTATCAACAGTAATCCCAGAGACTTTAGCTTGTCTGATCGACACAGGGCCGTACAATTATCGTACACACAGGAAAAAATTTTGAATTTTGGATTTGATACTTCTGATTTCCACATTCGCAGAATATTTTACTTTGCAAAAAGAATCAAAGTACCAACTCAAGTCCTCAAATCCGTTTTCGTATCTTACTTTTTCCTATTTTCTATTTTTCAAGTATTTCCTGGTTTTTGATTGGTTTTCGAGTTATTTTCACTTGTTACCTGGCTGTAGTCACAAAAAAATTGTCTAACTGTATACGGTAGGGTACGCTGCAATCGACAACCAAATCGCGAAACAAAAACAAAATCAAGACTTATCGAATATTATATTTACATATCGAATTATCGTTAATTATATACAAGCTAAATTTTGGATCGTACAATGCTTCAAATTATGTGACGCGTACGATAATTATCGTATGAATGGGTCACTGTTAAATAATATCAACTCGATTTCAATGATACAAATTTTTTCTTTGCTTACAGTTGTTACACCTTCTTATAACATATGGTCTGAATACAGCGCCATTTTGTTTGTTACTCCCGTGAAGCAAGCTCAGCCTATTTCAGGTCGCAGACCTTCACTACAACAGTGTTCTTATCGTATGTATAGGGAAAGGAGTAGAAACGAACGGACAAATTAACGAAAATTCGCGACATTTTTGCAATTATGATAATAACCATTATTACTATCTTAAATAAAATTTGAATGTGTAAATATAAGTGATGTTATTTGAGACATAGTTTGTACGTTAGTGGATATGAAGACGCGTTATTGTGATGTTATGCGTTATTCCTCCGAGTATGGAAACTGATTTGAAAGAAGAAGAAGCAGCAGTAGCGTTCAGTAAAGAAGAAGAAGAAGAAGAAGAAATATCGTTGGTGTTTGTAGGGTGTATTGCATAGGAATGGTATCACCGTCCAAGCTTCAACATCAAGAGCAAAAGCAGCAACCATCGAAAGAATATATATTGGATAAATGTTCGTGTAAGTGATTATACATGCTATCATACGTTTCTGTATATATGCATATACGTATATATATATATCTACATTTGTACATTCATATATATATATATATATATATACATACGTACATTATACATACGTTTCGAGACGACCTGCATTCGTTCCAAGCGTTTGGCTCATCTATACAAAACTCGATACCCCTACAGTATTCATTTTATACCAATGGAGAATTAATCTTCTAACGTATTGTGTTGTTATTTAATATGATTTATCATTTGATTGAACATTTATTAATTACATTATTCTATGGCCTTTGATTTTGATTTTGATTTTTACAGGTCAGCTAATTTGACATTCAAATTGCGATAGAATTATATTTTTAACGCATGTTCTTTTTTATCTTCTCTTACCTTCTCAAGTTGGAAATGTTACTAGGTATTATTTATATATTAGATATTAATATTTATAGGTAACATTTTATTGTTAATAACGCAATCGTTTCTCTGTTTATTACGATGTTATGAAATTTCTTTTTATATAACTTTTGTATACTTAATATTCAATTAATTTCAATACGTCAAACATGTATATTGATAATTTATAATCAAATATTTGTTTATATGGAAATTAAAATATATTTATTTATTTTTAGATGTTCGCATACAAAAGGGTTTGAAACCTTTGGCAAAGAAGTCATTTTATTTGGATATAAAAAATCATGCCACTTCAGCCAAGTTAGAAGCAAAAATCAAGGATCTTGGAGGAGTAAGTTTTATTATTTAAATACTATTTAATAATATTGAACGAAAGAAAATCATCTAAACATTGATACTGCCTCTACAAATATTCCTATTCTCTTCTTTATCGATCCATTTTATTTTCTCGAATATTTGAAAGTATTTTGTATAGGCGTCCCCATTATTTTTTTTCTCCCTCTTTTTTTTTGTACCCCTTCCCGCCATTTTCGATTGATACGTCTTTACGGTCGATAGAGGACGTGACTACAACTTTAAACGCGCGTTATATACGAATTTTGAATTCTTCGAAAATAGGATCGTGACTGTGTACTTTAATGCATTTAATAAAGTTCTATTTCATTTATAGTACGTATTAACGAAACGATGACATCAATTGGGTTTGTTACGTTAGGAAGGTTAGGAATAAGGTAGGAGAGAAAGATTGATCGTATATAATAATAGAAAGTTTCAAATTCCTTCTAGTTTACCGTTGGAAGGGAATCTCTACGAAGGAGGCCTTCTTTGAACTCGTACACAAGCCTAAATATCTATTCTTAGAGAGTTTCTTGCTCCTTAGATTCGAGTTAAGTCGCATTACTACTCTCTCTCTCTCTCTTTCTTTCTCTCTCTCTCTCTCTCTCTCTCTATACACGACAATAAACGGCTGACATTATAGTCTCGTATTGTCCGAGCTTAATTCGAAATATAATATGTATGTATAATATATATATACATATATGCACGAATGAAAAATAATGATGAAGAGAGAAAGAGGTAAAAAAAAAAATAACAAGAGAAAGGGAAAATGTATACGATGACGGTGACATTATTATCCTATGCGAATGGGTTGTTTCCATTGCAAATATTCGTACTCTGTAACGATATTTGTCATATAATGTCGTCATGGAATGAGAGGAGAGAGAGAGAGAAAAAAAAAAGAGAAAGAGAGGTGTACGATGAAAAGAGAGAACCTAACCGAACCGAGCGCGGGCTCCGCCCCGAAAGGAAACGCGTGGGGCCATTTGCAATATTCCACTCTATAACGAGTTTGACCAACTCGAACAATCGACCGAGCATTATCAATGATCGTTCCCTAACTGTTATTCAGTAAAATTATAAATAATACGCATTAGGAATGGGGGGTAATGAATAAAGTTCATCTTTTAAATATATACAGAAACAAGCGAGTATACATAGGAGAATATCTCGTGTATGGTAAGACCGTTGATTCTAGCGCCATCTTTAGTCGCTCGTACAAACTTAGACCGTATCTTGCGTGGAAAGGGAGTGGGGGAAGATGGGGATACGTTCTTTGTGTGCGTGTATACGATGCATCGTATATGGTATATATGTGTACATGTATGAGAGTATATATATATATATATATGTAAATGAAAAATAGAAGCATGGTGGCGATGGTGTTGTCGTCGTCGTTGCCGCTGCTTTATATGAGTGGGTGGGGGTAATAAAGGAGAATATACGGTAGGGATGATGTTTGTAACAGAGACCGAACTCAATGCTTGTACGAGGAACGAGAAATGGTTAGACGAAGCCGCATTCTTCGTCATCTTCGGAAGGTGTTTGACGCAGACACTAAGCGCCGCCACCAGGCACCCATGCCAAGCTTTTAACGGCAAATGGCCATTTTGTGCGTGACAGTTCTATATCGCGAAGCTAGAATAACAACGACGTTCCACCTGCTTGAACGATATCATTTATATTTCATAAGAATTATACTTTTATATAATTTGCAGCTAAAATCATCGTCGTCGTTGTTGTTGTTGTCGTTGCCGCCATTGCTGCCGCCATCGCCGTCGATGTCGTCGTCGTCGTCGYCGTTGTCGTCGTCGACGACGACGACCGCAGCTTTTGCCCGGTCTCTTTTTTATTAGAATTTATATACATATATATACAAACGTTACTGCATAGTTATCTAAAACTATGTATTTGCGCGTGCAATAATATATTTACAATGAGAAATCGGTAATATTATTGGTACTTAAATAGCAGGTGCATCGTCGAAAGTTAAATCTTATATTCAAAAGTTATTTTCTATACAAAGCTCGAGCGTGTTGTTCGCGACGCGCGCCTTGACAGCGGACCCTTCCTTTCCTCTCCCCCCCCCATCTTCCATTTGCCTCTTCCCCCTCCTTTCTTCCTACTCCTTCTCTTTCCGTTCTATATCTTCTATTTCTTTTTCTCTTTCACCTTCTTTACTGCTCCCTCAACTAACTCTCTTTCTCTCTCTCTCTCTCTCTCTCTCCTTCTCTCTCCCTCACATTTTTTCTCTTTCTTCTTCTCTTGGCAAACGTGAATCTTACGACTAACGTAGCGTTCGTTCATTCGTTCGTTTGTTCGTTCGTTTCTTGCTTCCTTCATATTTTCTATCGTTCGTTCTTTCTCGAATAAATTTATTAATACATTCAGTTAACTTTTTCAAAATAAATTATTTCATTCTCACGAGGATACACATTAAAAAGCACGTGTCTCTGTTTGGTGTGTATGTGTATGTGTGTGTGTGTGTGTTGGTGTTGTGTTACGTACTTACTACTGTTTATTCAAAAAATGTGAGATCTTTGTGTATGTGTATGTGTGGTGTGTGTGTATGTTATAATAATATTATGTGTGGTGTGCATTAAAGTCAACCATATTAAAACCGCGTCAAGAGTTTTAGCGTCGACTACGTACATACGCGCCCAGTATTTTTCTTCGTGCCATTAAATTGCGAACATTAAATCCGAATATTACGTTCACTTTCCGGCGTACTTTTAATCGCGCAAGTCGTACTATGACAACAACATTCCGTTTCAATACTTGTGTTTGAAGTATCATTACACAAGTGATAACTCAAAACATAACACTGGACGGTTATTCTGTATTAGGAAAAATATCGGTAATGATACTTTTGACTTGTATATACAATCCTCTTATCTTTTAGTTCAACATTGTGACGAATATTTCAGTTATGGTATTATGAACAGAAACATTTTTCAAAAAGTCTTTATTTGTCTCTTTTCTTTCACATTTATCAAACACATATCAGTTTATTGTTTATTTCTTTTCTTTTTGTTTTCTTTGTGTTAATCTATGAAAATATTATGATATTACTGTTTCAATTAATAACACAATTAGAAATATTGATAATTATTCTTTGTTTCAGGTGATAGAATTATTTTTAGTACGCACCGTTAGTCTAGTTGTCACAGATCGTGTAGATAAAGCTGGTCAAAGTAATTCTGACAAATATAAATGGGGTTCTATCAGTGGAGGCAGCGGGGGAACCCCCTCGCTGAGGAGCATAGAAGTTCCAACTCCAACTCCTCCTACACCACTTTTTAGTTCTGAGTGTCCTTTGTACAATACGACCAATCTACAGGGTCACCCTACCCAAAGATCTGTAAGTTGTATATCAATAAAAAAGATATTTAATCTTATACATACATATAAATGTATGTGTTTATATAATATTATATATTTTGTATAGAAATCGCGGACGGATGCAATGTTGGAACGTGCTCTGACTCAACCACAGCACTGTTCCGTGGATCCTCTTGACAACGCCCTAAGTTGGGGAATAACTATCTGTACAACTGCAAAAATTCAAGCTTGGCTCGATAAAATCTATGCGTCTCTTCAAGATACTAATAACTTGAAACAGTTACGAGGAACGAGTAGGCAAAAATTAGAAAAAGATTTCAAAGTAAAGCATTTAAAAGGCTCATATGTCAAGTTTGAACCTCTTCGCAGGTAAAATTTGCTCACGTTAACACTAGAACTTGATTGGTCTTTAAAAAAAGATATCTCTGAAATCTTAAAAACAATATATAATAACAATAAGTATAATAATGAAGAATATTTGGTATGAAAATCATGTAACATAAATTAAGAATTTGAAAATAAAGTTGTCAAATCAGTAGTTAAAATGACTAGTGTGGTAGTTTTAGCGGTAATTTTGAAAATGTGGATATATCGTATAATTTATAATAAACATTTCTTTTTCAGAGATAAAAGACCTGTATTTTTGGAATTATCAACGTGGCCAACATTGAACTTTGACGGTGATCCAGGGACAAGTCCCTTTGATACAAAAAGAAGAGGAAAATTTGAAAATAAAACAAATAAAGAAGTTAAAGAGAATAGAAAAGCTATTACAAAAAAAAAAGAGGTTTATATATACCATTTTGTATATATATATTAGTTATATATATAACTAGTTATTAAATTAATATTTATATAATCTTATGTAATGTCAGGGTAAAGAAATGACACGAAGACCACGTACCACTGCAGCTCGTGCACGTAGAACAGAACAATTAGGTGCAGGTTTTTGTGAAATATGTCGAGTAGACTATCGTGATCTATCAAAACATGTAGAAACTGATCAACATTTGAATTTTGTTCGAAACGATGACAATTTTCTCTCATTGGATAGATTAATCAACACAAATGCAAGTGTTGAGGCATTTTTGAAATTAAACGGAACAAAAGATATTGGGTAAGTAAATTTTGAAAAATTTTATTTCAATTAAAAGGACTGAGTATTATCTATATTATATTGTGCACACACACACAAATACTTTACTATATTTATATATTTATTAACCCTTAAAGTGCACATGGGGTGTTTGACACCCCAACAAAACTGTACCCTCTCGAAAACAGTGGGTTATTTGTTGTCATCTAGTGTTAATTCAGATAAAACCTATTCTATTTGAAAAAAGATGTATCAAAGTATTTTTAAAAATATTGCGAGATTTAATTATTAAATAGTAGCTTCAGGAGACGCGTTCAAATAAACGTTGGGGGTGTCAAACACCCACAGTGGTGCATTTTAACTAACTTTTACCAAGTGTGTGCACTTTAAGAGTTAAATGTGTTAAATAATATGAGATCATTTTATAATACATTGTTTTTCTTTTCTGTTTTCTTTTTTCTATTTTTTTTTTTTTTATTTTTTTCTTTCTAATAGAGAAGAATGCAATATATACACAAATGAAGAACGTTCTATTCGTGATGTACTGCCAGAAGAAAAAGTAACGAAAAATGCTAAAACATTGAATAATTTTTCTGTACAAGGAATAGACATGGTGCAGTGCAATGGTACGCAAAGAAATTTAAATATTAAATTAAATTCTCCTCATAATTTACGTACACGTGCTAAACACGAAAGTGGACATTTATTGAGATCAAAAGGTAGTCCTTGGCACGAAATTGATAAAAATGAAAAATTGTATGATAAATTAGAAGGTTTTACTATTAAAAAAAGGGCTAAAGGAACCATTTGGATCGAAGAAGAAGATCCAGAAAATAAATACTCGCAAGCAAGTGACATTAAAAATGCTGACCAAGTAGAATATAATATTAAATCAACGGGAAAAGATTTAAATGGTATTCACCAACGTGAATATGGTGATAATAATTCTGTAAATAAGAAACATAATGTTGGTACAGATAATCAAGAAGTTAAAGAATTAAATGAAAGAATTCCAAGTAATGAACAAAATGGCATATTTCATCCTGAGCTAACTTCAAAGAATGCAAACAATACAAATGTTAATAGTCGCGGAGAAATAAATGAAAATAGAAGATCTACTTTATTAAAAAATAATGTAAATATTAACGGATTATCCGATAAAAATAATCGTATTGAATCTTGGCATTCTTCTACAGAATGTAAAGACAAGTTTGATGGTGCAAAAAATGATTTAGAATTACAAAGAGTTTCAGTAGGTGATAGTATTAAAGTTGCAAATGATCATCATAATGATAAGAAAACTGAAGTACTTTGTAGTTGCGATACGGAGAACAACCAAAAAGGTGACGTTAAAGTGGTACAGTGTATGGAAAAGGACTTACGTTGTGAAAAACTTAGATCACCAAGAGCTTGTAGAAGAGGTGGTAGAAGTTTTCGTGGACGTCAAAGGTTGTCAGTCGAGGAACGTTTGATTGAGGATAATCGTGCATATTATAAGGTTGAAGTATTAGGAAGTAAATTGAGATCTAGTACAGTGCCAGGTAGTAATAATGCATTAAATCCAACAATTAAGGATGCTGCAGACGAGATTGAAAAGAAAGAGGAGGAACAACCATCGAGTGAGAAACCAGTTGTTGTAAGATTCAAACGTGTAAGAAAATCGGAACTCTCTTTGCTTAGCGATGAAGCTGAGTCATTTATGTTTGGAGAGCCTAAACGCGAGGATACGAGTGAAGATGTCAGCGATGAAGAACAAACAAGTGTTTTACCAAGGGACACCGAAAGTGAATTCAATGAGACTACTGTTAGTATCGATATACTTAGTTCTAGCGTGGATTACAGTCCTCAGATAAAACAAGAAGAGATTTTGGAAGAAGATTCTCAAGATTCTGTAAATCTTGGTAGAGCAAGAAAAAGAAGACGGACACAGGCAGAGGCGCTTATCAAAGACAATGTTGATTATTACAAGTTTGAAACACCTGGCAGTAGACTGAGATATCAAGCGCCATTAACAGGAGTCAGAGGATCCCTTAATCCTGAAGAAGATAATCATTCAGTAATAAACGAAGAATTACGATCTGATAATAATGGAGATAACAATGGAGGAGAAGTCATAGAAAAAATATATCCGTCCAAGCCTTCGGCAGAAGTTGAAAGAATGCAATTTTCTTTTGAAGTAGTACCTAAATCTGAGCCATGGTATCAAACTTATCAACGGCAAGACGAAGGTGCTGAATTTTGGCATTATTTTAGCGATGGTGATACAGAAAGACCGTTCCTTTTACCTTACGAAATAGAAAACTTTCATGAAACTATTTTGAGAAATCAAGCGAAGAATGAAAATAGAAAAAAAGGTAGAGGTCGTAGTATAGGTTGTATTGGACGATCACCTAGAAAAAGTCCACGTTGTCATGCATCAACATTGGCAATAATGTCAACGATTATAAAAAAAAGAGAACAACAACAGCAACAACAACAGCTCACATCAAACATTTGTACGAGAGAAGAGTGTCAATCTCCTAAATCACAGATTGATAATACTCCTATTCCAAAAATAGATATCAAAACAGATTTGATGAAAACGGCAGATGCAAAATCGTCAGATCAAAAATTGACATCAGAAATTGATGAAGAATTGAAAAAAATAGTGAAAAATATCGATGACATGCTTAATACAAGAGACAGTTTAGATATAGTTGATACATACAATGGTTTAGAAGAAGAACCTTTCATAGAATCAAATTTACCAAAAGGACCTCCGCCAAATCTATTGGAAATATTAGACAATTGTCATGAACTTGTACCGTGTATAGAAAACTCATCGTGTGCCAGTTCAGAATGTGGTGAAGTCAATGTTGAGTTACCATTGAAACGTCGAAAGAGAAGGAAAAATAGAACAGGCTGGCCTGGCATTAAAATACGTAAAAAGATGCAAAATAAAATAATAGTAGCACGTTCTTCTTCTTACAATGGTCAAGGAAATTATAAATTGTCAAGGGAAAAAAATAATGTTGAACAAAATGTTGACAAAAATGTTGTAACAGCTGATACTAATAGCAATACCAATGGTGATGTTGGTGCTGATGCTGATGCCGATGCTGATGCTGATGCCGATGCTGACGCGGATATGTCTTTAAGATTGATGACAGATACACGTACAGAAATAGTTTTATCAAATGGTAATAATACAATATCATCAACAACTAACAACAGGCATGATGAAAAAACATCAATGGATAAAAAAAATAATAAAAACACATGTAACAATTGTGACAATCCTAGCGTATCTCCTAAAGCATCATCTAAAACATCTCCTAAAACATCATCGAAAGCATCTTCTAAAACAACTTCTTGTCCTAAAACGTGTCTTAGTCTGGCTGTGATTGGTAAAAATAAAAATATAGAAAATACTGGTACAAAAAATTGCACGGTTAATGATGGATTGAAAATTACAAAGGTATTTAGTGAAGCTCAAAGAACTTTATCGGATAAAAATTTTACATTAAATATGGCGAAAGAAAAAGAAGAAGAAGAAGAAGAAGAAGTATCAGAAAACAATCCTGGAAATGATGAAAATCATGAGAATGTATTTAGGAAAGATGTGAATGGTGTAGTGATATGTTATGATAATGGTGAACGACAATTTATAACGAAAGGTGTTGTAAAAAAACGTCCTCGTATAAATACATCATCGGAGAGTTGTGAATCACGTACAGAAATTGAGAATCATGACATTTTATTAAATAGAAAGGATATAGATTCTGGTCTAGTATCTAGGAAGCATAGTTCCAGTGATGTGTCCAGGTTGGGATGTCAACAAACTCATTCTGAAAATTCTAATATCGAAGTAGTAGATGCTCATAGAAGTGTTTACAGGAGGAGTAAAGTTGGAGTTGTTGTGACACCTAGGAAACGAGTTATTAATACGAGAAAACAACAACGAAGGAATAATAAGACTTCCTCGGAATCCGTATACGAGAATGAAAATTGTAAAAAGGAATCTTATTTGAATATAACATCATGTAAAAAGCAAGAAACAATGAAAAATTCGAAAAAACAAAGCAATGAAACGATAGGACCATCGGCAGATGTGCAAGATACTGCAGAGCTGGAATGTGCATTGTCCGAACGTAATACACCTACCACCACGGCAACAACTATCATGCCGTCTTCTGGTTTAAAACAAAGACGTTCAAGCATCGAATTTCAGCCAGTAGTTAGAATGATGAAGATAGACAATTCAGTTGACGTGGATCATAGTATTTTGTCAGTGACAGTAGCAAGTAATAGAAGATTAAGAAGTTCTAATTCTCATAATAGTAGACCTAATGCTCAGCCACCTCATAAACGTTTAAAAACTTCTCGTGGACAATTTAGAAGGTGGTTAAAAAGTAGCTGAAATTCTGGGTAAAAAAAAAAAAACGAAAACAAAGTTGAGCCTACGCTAACACTACCACCCCCACCTTATCAAATTTCAAAATTTGAAGTCCTCTTTTTATATGCTTCTTTTTCTTGCCACAAAAGAGAGACAATGAAATTTTGAAATTTTATTTATCTATCCCCCATGTAAATTATATGTAATATATTCATCTATTTAGTATATAATATTTAACATTACTGACACATCAAATTCTTAGGTTTATAATGTCCTACTTGATATCTCTTGACGATACATGCGATATCGTCAAACTTGTACATTCGTTGAATGCGGTCTTGATGTTCTCAGAATGAATGTGAGTTTCCTTTTTTTTTCTTCTTCTTTTTCTATCCATATTTTATCTCACTTCCACTCTCTCTTATACAGCGGTTTTTTCATTTACATTAATAATATTTGTAACAGGTACAAAAAAAGAAAGAGTATTTCATACTGTACATATTATGTAAACGAAATTTTTCAAATGTATGTAACTAAAAAAAAAAAAAAAAAAAAAAAAACAGAAAAGAAAATTCCTAAAGTGCACGAGACTGCATATTACAGCTTTTTAATATGTATAATCATATTCTGTTTATGCTTCACATTATTCAAGGTTAACGTTGTAAATCCTCAAAGGGAAAACAAAAGAAAACAAAAATGAAGAAACCCTCATTATTTTATTTCAAAGTGGAAATATGTAAGTTTTTCGTGAGTTATACAAACAAAAAATTATTATTACTATTATTATTATTATTATTAAAGATACGAATTTTTCAATAAAAGGTTTTTTGTCTTCTTTTTCACAATCATTTTTTTTTTTTTTTTTTTTTTTAGTTTTAATTGTAACTAGTTTTGTATTAAGGTAAGTGATTATTATCTCAATGAAAATAAAATCTAATTTATATTTTTGTTTTTCTTTTATATGTACAACAAATCAAAACTATACAAAGATGATGATGAAGAATATTCAAATGATATTTTATTTGTTTTTTTTTTAAATCATACAAGTCCTTCACGTTCTTTAAATGATTTCTTTAACTCTGCTAGCTTTTTCTGCTTTTGTTTTTTCTTTATTGAACTTTGTTTTTGAAGTTTCTTTTCTTGATTTTCGATTGATTCATCACCATTTAATAAATTATCTAATTTAGTAATTAATATCTCTCTTGCACGTTTCTGATTAATCCATACACTCCTTGTCTCATGACATTTTACAACAATTCCTGTTGGTTTATGTTTCAAAGTTACAGCATTGTTTGTTTTATTAGTTGCTTGACCACCTGGACCACTTCCTCTTACAAAATTTTCTTCAAGTTCATTCTCGTTCAAGGTTGGTACCTTAGAATAATCCAAGAAACGTTTAAAGGATTTCAAACGTATTTGATCGTAGAAACTTGTATGATGAATATTCATTTTCTTATTATTATTATTATGTGAATAAATAGGTGTATGAAAATGATGAATTTTTCTATCGAAAAATTGAAACATTGCGTAAAACAATGAACGTTTAGTTGTAATAGATTGTACATATGAAAACATAACATAAACATGTCTGTTCATTTTGATCACACCTTGTATTAATAAATTGTCATACTTTTGTAATTACACTACTCTTCGATTTTTCAGTAATGTCAATCCTTTCTAAAAATATAAACATATGAAACAATAAAACACTATTGTACGATGTTTGAATATTATAGGTTATGGTTTGATTAAATTCATGTTAGTAATAAGAATTCTTACGATAATAAAATTACCTTTAATTGAAAATCGATGTCTGCCTCTTCAGTTAACGTTTTATTTTTTTTAAATTCTTTTTTTATTCGGTATTGATAATATTTCTTATCTGTAAATTTTAACTGTTCACCATAACGTAATAAATCTTTATAAAGTTTTAAAACTGTAATTCTCATTATGTACAATTAATTCTTATATTAATATTAACATATTATGAAAGTAATATTATATAATAATTTAATATTATTCTTTAATTACACTTTTAAACAATATATTTACTTTTGACTAAAAGTTTGGTTACTTTTTAAAAGGATTGAAATACATAACCTTACTATTTTACTATCAGCCAGTGAATCCAGATCGCGGAACATTTCTACCCCTTCCCTCGAGCCCAGCACGTCTCGCACACAACGAAATGTTACGTGTCGGTGTGTCGGGAAACCGAAAGAAGCCGAGGGAAGCCGAGGTGTACAGCAATGTGTATTGTGTCCATGATTTCTCCTCGGTGCGTGGTGAGGGTATTATTTCTCCTCTGTCGCGCAGCTAACTTCGGCTTCCCTCGGCGTCTTTCGGTTTCCCGACACACCGCACGTAACATTTCGTTCTGTGCGAGGCGTGCTGGGCTCGAGGGAAGGGGTAGAAATGTTCCGTGATCTGGCTTCATTGATTGATATACATAACCTTACTATTTTGCTACCAGTGCTGTAATTAATTGCGTCTGACATACATACTAATATATTTCTATATGTTTAATAAAAGAACTGAAAATAATATTGAAAAATTAAAAAGGATAATATACTAAAGTAAAACTCTGATTAAAAATATTAATATTTTATTTATAAAATTAACGTACGTCTAAAACATTCCAAATTTGTATGTTTCCAATAAATATAATTCATTCCTTGTTATTATCTGTAATTAAAGTATCTGAGAGATAATATATAAATATATATGTATATATATTAAAATTCTTTAAATTCTAATTGATACATTTTTTGAATGATATCTTGCATTTCAAGTTCCTTCGCAATTTCATTGATCAATTCGTCCACAAGTTTATCAGAAATCCTATTTAAAAAGTTCAAGTTAAAAATTTATTATATTTATTATATTTATAATACTAGTTGAAATAAGATATTTACCATGCCACAATATCCCATGGTTTATTCTGCGTATTGTTGGAATACATTGGACTAGATTGAAATAAATTATAATATTCGGCTCTATATTTTAAAAATTTAACTTCAGTTTCTTTAGAAATAATTAATTGGATAGCACCATTTTGCTGTAAAATATTATTTCTTTCATTATTCTTGTGTATACAAATTATATTTGTAATATTATACGTAATACTCACACTTTGAAGATTATCTAAGTAATTCGTCGAATTGCAACATGTTTGTTCGTTAGATACATTATCCAAAGATGAAAGATAAATCAATTGCATGTTACCTTGTTTAATTTCTTCTTTACTGTTTTAAATTATAAAGAAAGAGAAATAATGTAATATAACATTTAAAAGTTACTTATAATTAATATTATTAAGATATAACAATTACTTCTTTGATGTGTGACATTTTTTTAATGTACGACTTGTAAAATCACTAGTAGAAACATCCTTATCATTAAAATCTTGAAAATGTTGAGACTTTTGAAGAAATTCATACAATACTTCATCGGAAGTTGCTGAACCATATTTCTATTATCAAAATTGTATTTGTATTTAGAAAACAATGTAAAAATGTAAGAATTATTATTTCATAATTTACATTACCTTATTCATTGGATCATTACAAAGATGTGAATGACTACTTCTTCTTTTATTATGTTTCAGCTCGTCTTTAGAATATTTTACATTATGCAACTTATTTGGCAAATCTTTCGTTACCTTTGTCTTTTTTGATAATTTAGTACTACGCTTAGATTGTATTTCTAAATTGATATCCTAAATTTGTAAAAATTGTTTACTTCTTTTTCTGTTAATTAATATTTTCATCTTATAAATTATTCAAATAAGTTAGAGTCCTTACATTATCAGAATCTATTGGAACTGTACTCATGATTGTTTTGATATCATCTTCCTTTAAGGATGTATTGTACATTTTATCATCTTCAATGATACCTTTAGATGATGCATTTGTAATTGGACTAGAATTTGGTTGTTGTGGTAAAGATAAGTGTTCATTATAAATAATTTTATTACGAGATGCACTAGGTTTTTTATCTTTTATATGATATACTGTAAATGAATATAATTCAAGGTAATTAGTTTGTTTGTAAAAATGTATCATGATCATATTACATACCTGATGAATTTTTCTTATATGTTTTCGTCTTTGTATTATTATTATTATTATTATTATTATTATTATTATTATTAGTATTATTATTATACATTTTTAATCGTGTTTCCAAGTTCTTATGTTTGGAATGATTTTTTCTTCGTGATACATTTATTGGAATAACTAGATTTGAAACTGTATTGTGATCATCTAATTGCGATTCAGTTCCTGAACTCAATCTCAACTTAGACAATATTGCATTACACTTGGTTTCCATCTCTTTTTCCTGCAATTAGATAACCTGTAAGCGAATTCAAATCTGACATTTTTCTTATATCTTTATAAAAAGTTTACTTTTTTTTTTTGTCACGCTTTCGCATCTAATTTTGGAATGAATTTATTTACCCGAGGTAATGTACAAGTATCTCCCGAGGCAAAATAATTTTTAGTCAATTCAATATGATCGCAAATGTCTTTCAAATCGATGACTATTTTTAACAGTTCTTTGATTTTTTTAGAATGTCCATGAGGAATTGAACTAGGAATATGTCTGCAATATGCTGTCAATGCGTGCAATAATAATTGATGAGCAGCGATTAATTTTTGTTCAATTATTTGCATATGAAGTGTAATACTTCTATGACTAGATTTGATTTTTACAGATGGAGAAACGGCATGCACGTGTTTCTGAATGTCATTGACATATCTCGTAAGATCATATAAATAATTTCTCGACAATCTTATACAAAATTCCATTACACGTTGTTGCCTTCTTTTCAAATCTAATTCTCCATCAGGTAATGGAATTTTGTCCAATCTAAATAAAATTTCATCTAACAATTCAGAAATCCTTTGTTGCATTATTATGATTCTATGCACAGTAATTGGATCTGCTTGTAGAGAAATATTATCTTCTTTATCGCTTTCATCTTCTATGCTTAATTCTAGATTAGAATTATGTTCAAAATTGCATGCTACATGACTTTCTTTGGGTTGTTTACTTTGTACAATATCAGACAAAGTTTTTTTCAAATCTGAAGATCGTTTAGATTTTACAGTTCTTCTTCTATACGGCAATGAATCTTCTTTTAAGATTGATTGATCCATATCGATGATAATGGTATCATTGCTTTTAGTTTTTATTATCTTATTTGGAATATCATCTTCTTCCTCTTCTTCTTCCTAATTAATTAACAAAATAAATGAAATTACTAATAAACCACATTTTACTTTGAATTATTCAAATATATGCAATATTTACAGAATAAATTGATTTATGATCATTCCTTTCACTATCTTCAACATAAGATCCTAATTTATATTCCGGAAGTGCATCTTCCTCAAGTCTTCTTAATTCTCTGTCTTCTCTGTTGTATCTTTTAGTGCTAAATACATTTATTGATAAATGTATGAAAAGACTTTTGAGAGATAATATTTTTGGAAAAAGAAATCAATGTTATTTACCTTAAATTAACGTCTAATTCTTGTTGCTTTACAAATTTATACCATTCACGTTCCTCTTCGTCTCTGCATCTTCTTCTTTGAACGTCTTTAATTATGTACTTGAATTGATTTCCGGATATGTACTGAAAATATTCAAATCAGAATCATTCACAAGAATTTTAATAATAATATAATTGATTTTATTATTATTATTATTATTATTATTATTATACATTTAATTACCTTAAAATTATAATTTTCTTCACCTTCATCTGAATACAACAAATCTTCCTTTTCTTTATTCGCCAGGTAGGAGGCAGATTGCGAAGTTGCCAATAAAAATGACATTTTTTTTTTCTTTGGTTAGGTTTACCCTTTTTTTTTACACTTTCGCCTAATCATTCGTTTTAAATCATTTAAATGTTAAAATATATATAAAAAGAGAAAATGTATATAGAATTTGATAAAATAGAATATGGGAAAATGCCACCCTGGATGAAAACCAAGAACAGGGGGTTGTTAAAATGTCTTTCAGTTTGTGGCAAGCCATCAATCGGTGGTTTTAATTCGATATCACTTATCGAGCTTTTTTAAAAGATGTTTTAGAAATATATTATATGCAATATTCACTCAATATCTATTAGATACAATTTATTTTAACAATAAACAAAAAATATTCAAAATATTTTTCAATTGTCCTAAATTCATATTACAAAAAACAACGATTTTTTTTTTCTTTTTAAAATTTTTAAACTTTGTGAATTAACAAGAAGACATTTAAAGTTTCGATTTAATAATATATTTTATTTTATTATTTGTTTCTTTTAAAAACTATTTTTTCTTTTTTTTTTTTTCATATGAAAAATGTACAAAAATTTATCGATAAAAATAAAATTTTAAATGTTGTTTAATTTTCGCGCGCAAATTTTGAAAAAGTGGTGAGAGCGTAAGGGGGAGGCTTTTTTGCGCGGTAACATGTACGACAGGTGTTATTCGTAGGGATAGTAGGACGAAAGGGTGGGCGCGGTTATCGCTCGTCAAATCACCAGCACCGATCAATACTTGCGCGGCTACAAGGTCTCGTCATGGTTATTTTGGATTACTGAACGAGTAAAGTCGGATTTTGCGCGGCGGCAAATTCTTAAAGTAGTCGCACAAGTTGCTTATTATCAATAACAATTCTATTATATTCGAATTAATATTACAATAATTATGATAAAAATAATAATTAATATCAATTAGATATTTTTTCATCAATTTCTTATACAAAAAAGATATATAACGAATAAAATTTCTATTTTAAATGTGCATTTAATCATGCTTGATTGTTAACAAGATAATTTGAACTGGTCGCCATCTTGTACGTTAACTGACCAATCAAAGATAAGAATTAAGTGACGTTCAGTAGATTCGAGGTGTTTGATCGTCACACAATTGTACATGGAATCTTAATCGAATCCTTAATTCTTTGGTGTTTCATTCCAGGTGTTTCATTGCAAATATTTAAATATTATTTGGTAAAGTGTTTATAATAGTGATTGAAGTTTTCTTTTATCTTACATTATTTTTTATTATAAATTATTCAATTAGTTTGACAATTTTGACAAGACGCTCTAATTGACATTTCTTTTCATCTTACTTGTCATTTTTAATTGTTCATTATAAAGATTGAGATTCTTTTTTAATTGTAATAATAAAAATCATTATAATGAATAACAAACAGTGATATGTCAAGGTTCCAGAAGTCAAAGTGTACGAAGAATGAATCCCATTATTTTTCTCATAGTGCTTTTATTTATCTCATGTTTCTATTAGATTCATTTATCTATTTTATATTTTCTATGTTGATCTTTTTTTTTTAATCTCATAATAATAATAATATTACAATGACATTTTTAAAAATGTCTTATTATTTACTTGACATATTTTCTATCGAATAACATTTTGAATAACTTGAAATATGAGATTGAAAAGAAATGATCACATTTAAGTGATTAAATAATATATTCAAAATTTTTCATTTAAATTATTTTAATTAACAATTTTCTCTTCTTGTGTAACAATGATCTGCATATAATAATAAACAAAGGGAAATATCTTTATAGAATACTGGTACGTGCATTATAAAAAGAATTCATTTCTTAAATAAGATAAATAATATATATCCAAGATGATATCCAAAGTACTCATGGAGTTACCAACGGTAACATTTTCACAAGTAAGTAAGCTCCCATAAAAAGAAATAAGAAATTGATATTATTATTATCATCATCATCATCATCATCATTTCTTTCTTTTTATAGCCAAAGGAACCATCTCCACATGATATAATTGTAAACAAGAAGACGGATGAAATAATACAAACTAGACAACAAAATACGAATGTAGATAGAGCAGCACAATTAGAGCAAAATGTGAAATTTCTACAAGAAGAACATCAAGCAACTTTGCTTGCTTTACATCAAGAAGTTGAAATGTTACGTCAAAGAAATAGAGGCATGTATATAAATAACAATACAACTTATTTTGATATATTATAACTAGAGATACCCTGCCACACGTTGCTGTGGCTCACAATCAGTCCGATACACACGTCTTTAAGTCTATTGCAATTATAAATTGAAATATAAACTATCCTATCTTTCAAGTTGAATGAAACTGCAGACAGTGTGGAAAATTTGATTAAAATCGGTTCAGTAGTTTAGGAGTCCATTGCGGACAAACAACGTGACACGTATACAATAATATTATTTATTACAGATTTGCAATTTCAATTGACTTTTTCAAAAGGAACAACTTGTATACCTAGCAGTCCTTCTTCCCCTGAAGATAATGGAAATGGGTTCTATAAAGTAGTAAAACAAAGAAATTCTACATATTATAAATTATATATACATTTAATATACATAATATATAATTTATATACATAATATATATATTATAACTTCTATATATGTATATAAATATATACAGGGTAGTCCAGTATCCATGAACGTCACACCTTTGAAGGTTGAACTTTTGGAAAAAGAATTGCAGGATGTTAAAGATTCATTACAAAGTGTTAAAGCATACAACAAAGTTTTAACGGAAGTTATATTAAAGCAAGAAGAGTTAGTATTAATTAATTTAATAAAACGAATATAAAATTCATAAAATATTAATAACTAATGAACCAATGATATTTGATTTGTTACAGACACGTGGAGGAATTGGAGAAACAAAATCCAAAAACAGATGTGACAAGTGTTGGAATACAAGTAGGAGACAAATCAGAACCTGCTCTAGCAGATGTACTAATACGTTTGGCAGATGCACAAGAGGAGATCCAACAATTGCGTTGGGAAAATAGACATCAACGAAAGGAAATTGCAACGTTAAAGGCAGTTTCAGCAAACAATGGAGGTACAAGTGGGGGTGGATGGGGACGAGATAGTAATAATAGTCATCATAGCCGTGTATCATCTATAACTGGAATACAAGAATCAACATCTCACAAATTTCCACCATTACAGACACAGAGCTACTCACATCGCCGAGTTCAGAGGTATAAATATTTTCAATATTTTGGTTACATCTATTTAACATCAACGTATGCCTTATATTCATTACAGCTTTGATCATAATTTTGGTTACTACAGAAACGAAAGAAATCGATATGACAGACTGGATCATCACACAGACGCTGAAAATACTGCATTGCCACAGCTTCAAAAGACACAGCAAAAAAATCATTCAGACGCTTCAATATTTGATTCGTGTCGTCATCATCATTATCAAAGTTTTTTTTATAATTGTAATCCTGATTATTATAATCGTAAATACAGATGTCAAGATTCGCAAAAGGATCGTAGAGATTCGGAAAATCGTTATTACAGGCGTGATTACAAAGATAGAAAATTTAAAGATCACCAAAGGAGAGAATGTACAGATCCTGGAGAAGGTTCAAGAAATACGGACAGCACTCATAATCAATAAATTATTATAAATCTGGTGGCTTGCATTAGCTGCATTATATACGAGTAGTTATATCTTTAAGTTATTTGCCTTAAAGTATATAAAAGCATCTGAAATTCCATTAGCAGTAATAATAGTTTATAAATGCTGAGTGGTTAATGTTTTCTCATAGAAAAAAAAAATATTATCATCTTAAATAATTCAGTTATCTATGCTTAGATCATTATACATAGCATAATGACGAATAACATATTAAAGCTACATGATCTCGAATGGAACAACTTAGTGTATACATTATTTAAAAAAACAAAAAGTAGAAATTATGCTTCACGAATTGGTAAATAAATAATTATTAATAACAAATGTAGAATTTAAAAAAAAAAAAAAAACAAGACAGACAGAAAGAGAAAACTACACACACGTGTTTATTACATTCTAAAGGAAGATAAGAAAGATAAAGGATAAAAAGATCTAATTAATTGAATTTTATTATTACTTTTTCTGACACTCAAGTAAAGAAAATGATAAAAGTTTCTGCAATTTATGAACGATATTAATATTAAAATGAAAAATATATAGATTGCATTATATATTAATATTTTATTTGACGATTGATTAGTGATGATATTAAAAAGTAGAAATAAATGTGAAAATATATATATTTTGTTAAATTTTATTCGAATTGTTTTGAAAATTGCATTGTAGTTTAAATTTAAAAAGATAATTAACAGAGATGATAATAGTTTGAATCTCTTGATAGAATGTGCATCTAATGAAAACAATTAACAAAATTCAATAATTAAATCAATTTATTGAATATATACACCACTGTTTCTAATATATTTTCATCTGCTAGTGGATATATATATATATGTGCGAAAAATAAAAACAAGTTGATATACATATAATGCTTCTATTTATGAACATAGACAAATTATTAAATATGAAGTGTAATGATTTTGATTGAAATACTTTTTATCTATTATAATTATATTTCTTATTAAACAAATGATATATATATATAATTAATTTAATAATTTTAAAAATAAAATATTTATTGTATAATATTTTATGTATGATTTTTTTTTTAAATTCATTTACCGTTACACATATGACACAACATCGATGCAATAAAATAAACGCTAGTCAAGTTTCGAATTGTTAAATTAAATATAAAAGTATATAAACATGATTTGTATATTTTTTATAACATATATATATTTCATATTTATATATTATGATGTATAAAATAATCTCTGTCAAGATAATAATATGTATCGTTTGTAAATACCGCCATTTAAAACTATGCTTTCCCAGGTGGCGCTTCGATCGTAATGTTATCATTTAAATTATTGGCATTAAATTAAATATAAAAGTATATAAACATAATTTTTATATTTTTTATAATATATATATTTCATAGTTACATATTATGGTGTATAAAATAATCTCTGTCAAGATAATAATATGTATCATCTGTTAATACCGCCATTAAGCTATGCTTTCCCAGGTGGCGCTTCTATCGTAATGTTATCATTTAAATTATTAGCATTTGTTTTAATTATTATTACTTCTTTTAGTTTACAATAATAAAAATACAACAAAAATTATAGATTCTTTTGTTTATATATAAAAATTATGTATACATATATATATACAAAGTTATATACAAATATAATGAACATGTGTTTTAATGTTACTTAATTATAACAATAATAAATTTGATAATAATATGAATTAAAGTTGTTATAATACGTTAAAATTTCATGTCACAATTGCTGTTCATCAATTAATTCGTCTATGATAAACAATATTTGTTGTTTATCTTTAAAATTGAATGAAAAATAATATCACTTGAATATTTCATTGTACTAGAGGTTATTTAAAAAAAAAAAAAAATGTGTAACATTCAAATGAAATTAAAAACTTGGATTCAATTAATCAAATCTGGAACATTAGAGAATATAATAGAAGATATTATGGTAAGATATAAATGAAAACTATAATTTTTATATTTATTCATTATTTAATATGATATTACAACAATACATGTTTATATACTTTTTTTTTTAGACTAATAATTATTTTCAATCGGATGAAAATGCAATAATATCAAACAAAGATGTATTTAAATTAATATTACATTTGGCTCATGCAGCAAACAATTGTGATAAACAAAAATACAAAGATGGTAAAGATATTGGAAATTTAGCATTCTTGTTATGTTCCAATTTATCAACGATACCTGATAACGAAAGATTTATCTCAAGTTTATATCACATAATACGTTGTCTATTACGAATGAATTTATATAAAGAAGCTGAAAATTTATCTTTACATTTAATTCAAGATAACGTTGAATGCACTGAAAATAAAACCAACGAGATTTTTCGACAATTAACATATTTGTGGCATGAATCCGCAGAAAAAGAATTAATAAATTTCCAAGAAAAACCAAATCATAGGGAACATTATGATCGATATAAAAATGCTATTAAATATGAATTATTAATAACAAAAAAATCTTATAAAAATCATGCCAGACATGTTATTACTAAATTGTGTATATATTTGAGAAAGCTTATAGCAATGAAAAATATATCAATTAAATACATCAATGATTTTATTAAATATATTATTGATGAAGATTATGAACACATGTCGATAGATCAAAATGATAAACATAAAATATATTCTTCAATATTAAGCATCATTGCTAAATTAATTTGCACAAATTATAATAATGACGGTGACGATAAGAAGTTTTTAATGGATATTTTAAAAGATGAAAGAAATTATTTTAAAAATATGATATTTGATGATTGTTACCAAAGTTTTGTACATTTTAAAAATACATGTATTACATTGTTACAACCGGATGAAGAATTAACAGAATCTGTCTCTAAGAATATTGAAAAGCTTACTAATCAATACATTGATATTGTTCAAAGATGTGGATATACAGATACAGTTACTATTACAGCATCATTTTTTGTTGAAATATTTCAATATGTATTTTTATATTGGGAGAATAATGTAACATTAGGAAAAATGCAATTTTTGAAAAGTAATATTTTATATGAAACCATGAAATTAATTGATCAAATAAGTAAAACTTTACTCAAAACAGTTATGGAAAATTGTATATGTTCTAACAACAAATGTACAATTAAAATAGATTTGTATAATCATATAATATTAAAAGCTAAATGTACAATATTAATTAACAAACTTTCTATAAAAGATTTATCAGAAAATATATTACAATTTATAAACAAATTTATGGAAGAAAATATATTTTATTTGAAAACATTAAAAGAAAGTCATTGTAAACATTGGACAACTTTATGGTCATTATGTGGAAGATTACTTTACAATATGGGATCAACGTTTGAATCATTTTACGATACAAGTACTTTCTTTATTTCATTATTATGTTCAAGTATTATTTATTTTGAAGGAATGCATTGTGAACATTCACATTTAAAAATACAAAATCCTCTATGCGTTGCACTGTATAAATTAAGTAATATTCATTATAAAAAGTGTATGTACAGAGAAGCCATGACTGTATCAGCATTACATGGATTATTAAGTTATACTGATAAGAATTCAAAAGCATTTAAAGTATGGACAAGTATTAAATATAAAATGGCACAAACTTCTTCTAATTTTGTAAATATGTCTATGATATCGTGTTTACAAAATGATAGAAAAATAATTGAAGATATTGGTATTCATATTGATTTATCTAAATATGATCTTATAGAATTGTGTTTAACAGAAGCAATAGCTTTGAAAAATGTAAAAGTTAATCTTATTGAAGCTTTTCATTCTTTGTTAAATGAATTACACATTTTAAAAGCTAACATTATACAGCGTACATATCTCATACAATTATTTGGGTATCATTTGTTGCATATACAAGAAAATTATACATCTGATATATTTACAAATACTCTTTCTGAATTAGAATTATTAAAAGATAAATCTATTAATATTTTATGTTTAAAAGCAAATTTACTATTTTTTATATATGTAAATGAATTGCGTATTTCAAATGAATGTACACGAATAGAAATGAATAATGCAGAGTTTGCTTTGAAAGCTCCTAAATTATCGGATAATCAAGGAACTTATGTAATACCAGCGTATTCTAAAATCAATATTAAAGAAGATCTACGTCTTATGGAATTGTTAGAAAAATCATTAAAAACGTGGGATGAAATTGAACCAAATATTGTAAGTTTTTTTTTTTTATACAAAGCATATTACGTTTATTATTATTAATATATTGACTTTTTCAAATTCAACACAGATTGATGTAACTCAAAGTTGGGAACCATTATTAACATTAAATATATTAACAATAATTGCTGAATATTCAAGATTGTATCGTTATGAAAATTGTGAATCTAAAGCATGGAATCTTGCAAGTAAATTAGCAATAGAATTGGACAATAAGGATATATTCGTTTATGGTATGTACATTTAAATATTAATACTACAAATTTAAATATTAATATTATGAATAATATGTAAATAAGTATTCTATCATAGTTACTGGTCGTAGCCTTTATTTACGTCAAATAAATAAACAATGGATTGATCAAGCTAAAGAATATGTTGATAATATCAAAGATTACGACAATGAATCTAAATTACAAATAATTGCCATGTTTTGGATCAGTTTGGCAGATTTTTACTTCGAATGTGGGGAAGTAAGTAGATTTATTTATTTATATATATAAATTACGTGTCACGTTGTTTGTTCGCAATAGACTCTTAAACTACTGAACCGATTTTAATCAAATTTTGCACACAGTGTGCAGTTTCATTCAACTTAAAAGATAGGATAGTTTATATCTCAATTTATAATTGCAATTGACCTAAAGACGTGTGTATTGGACTGATTGTGAGCCATAGCAACACGTGACGGGGCACTCTTATTTATTTATAATATTTAAATATGTTATACTTTTAAATGTACAAAATATATTTCTTTTTGCAGTATACGACAGCTACTAAATTATTAGACGATGCTAGATCTTTACCAGGAATTACATTTCAAAATAATACATCTGTATATTTATACAGTTTAGATACAATCATACGTAATTATAACTTTTATAAAAAGAATACGGAACAAGAGGAATATACTTCGTATATTATTGAAAGTCTTTACTCTTTGATATGTTTAAAAGATAGTTTGACTTCAATCAAATGTAAGTTATGGTTCTCAAAGTACACGTACTTTTATTATTTGTTTACTGTATTTTTGATTTCATGTGTTTTATTTATTTATTTATAGGGATGAATCCAAATGATTATCTTTGTAGTTACGACATATTATTTTCATGTACCGTTAATATGTCTACATTGATCAACAGTTTATTATCATTTAAAGAAATTACTGCACATTTAGTGATCAAATTAAAATCAGCACAATCATTAGGAGCAACCATACGCACTGCAGAAATATTAAAATCACTTTGTTTCATTGATTTATCACGTTCACGTTTGGATGATTGCGAAGTGAAACTTCAAGGACTTGAACACATCTTAGATACTGAAACTATTAAATTATCAATGGATACTAATTTGAAACCAACAATATTAGAAAATTTAAAAACATCACCAAATCGTTTAATCAATTCGAGAAATAATATAATGCAAAATGATACTTCACCAGTCTTAAGAAGAAAAATTTTCAATTATCCAGACTTTTTGTTACATAATAATTGTACATGTACATTATGTCAACACATACAATATCAATATTTATTATTTGCCAGTACACATATCAGAGCACAATTATATGCATTGCAAAATAATGTTGCAGCTTCGCTTGAACATTTTCATGGTGCTTTTAAAATGAAAGAGAAATTTTGTCAATTAGAACAATTTACATTGCCAAGAAATTTGTTAAAAGAGACTAATAATACAATTAAGTTCACTTGGCAAGCACGTTTATATATAACTGATTATATACTTTTACTTTTGCATTTTAGTTTTTTATTGAAAGCTTATATAACATCAAGAAAAGATGAAGCTTTAAAGATCGCTTTATTAGCTGTTGAAATATGTGAAACACAAAAAATAGAAAGTCATCCTGTATATATATCTGCTAAAGAATTAGTATATAAATATCAATTTGAAGAAATTATTACAGATCAGGATTATTCAAGTAAACGTTTGATATATAATTATAAACATTTAATAAATATATATGTATTTAATTTTTATAGTAATAATAATAATAATTTGTAATTTTATTTTTATTACAGGTTTTACAGTACCAAAAACACCTGAAATTGATATTAGTAAATTTATAGTTCAAGATAAAGTATCATATAAAATGTGTGTCACTCCTGTTACACATAATCAACCTAAAAATCCAATATCAATTCGTCGCAATAAAACACCGCCATTATCAAAATTGAAAAAAGTCAACATAAATTTGAGCGACGACGAAAGTGATGATTCTTCTTCTCCTTCTAAATTAGATGATTTATGTAAAACACCAATTTCTCGTCCTAAATTAGTAAGAAGAAAAATTTTAGAAAATGAATACGTAGATGATAATACTACTGACAAGTCAAATGAAAAAATGGATGTAAACAAAATGAAAGATATTTCTGTAACAAAGATTATTACTAAAGTTGCACCATTAGTGCCAAATATTTCAGATCATTTGAATAAAATTACGAAGAAGTTTGATATACCTGCGACTAATGAAACTGTTGAAAAATTGTTTGAAATGGTAGATAATTTGGAAATAAGTTCGCCTAAATCGCAAAGAAGATTACGCAGTAAAAGTGCACCAAATTCAAAGGAATCGTCATGCGATAATGAAGTTAAAGATTCAATAGAATTGTTTAAAAAATTAGTTATTTCAGAAGTTGAAACTAATAATATTGTAAATGTGAAACAAACAGTGCCAACGATAGTTATTGATAATACTGAAGCAACTGGAATTTCTCATAAATCTAGGAAAACTAAGAATACGCTTACAAATGGAAACAATTCACTAGAAATAGTTACGTTAAATACCGAAAGTGAAATATGTAAAATAAGTAAATCACAAAGAAGAGTTACTAGAAGTACTAGATCTACGAAATCTTCCACTGTTACCAAAACGACTAGTTCTGTAAAAAAAGCATCTTCTTTTAGATGAAATTTTTAGGAACAAATTTTACTGAAAAAAAAAATAAAAAAAATAAAAAAAATTAAAACTAAGAAACAGAATTTACATGAAAATTATATTTTATACATATCTTCTTCTTCTTCTTCTTAATATATATAAATTACGTGTCACGTTGTTTGTTCGCAATGAACTCCTAAACTACTGAACCGATTTTAATCAAATTTTGCACACAGTGTGCAGTTTCATCCAACTTGAAAGATAGGATAGTTTATATTAATATATATATATATATAAATTACGTGTCACGTTGTTTGTTCGCAATGAACTCCTAAACTACTGAACCAATTCAATAAAAATAATTTATAATTTATCTAGTCCTTATTGGTCTCCATATAACGCGGTACGAATGATGTGATTTGTACTAATTCTGCGTTTCTTATAGCGCGATTCCCATACGACGCGGTAGACGGTTTCCATAGGACGCGCTACGAATTAGCCTGGTTTGCACAGTTAAATCCGAGTTTCTTATAGCGTGATTTCCATACGACGCGGTAGACGGTTTCCATAGAACGCGCTACGAATTAGCCTGGTTTGTACGGTTAAATCCGAGTTTCTTATAGCGCGGTTTCCATATAACGTGGTACGCACTCACCGCGTTATAGGAGGGTTGACTGTATATTTAATGATAATTAAAAATTTATATTAAAATAGAATAGGTTGTACGAAAAAATTATTATAAATTCAAGCGGTCCCCCAAAATTTTCAGCCAATGGCACATGAGCTAAATATGAATAGCGCATCATCCCTCCTACAGGATCCCTAATTCTTATTATTAGTTATAAGATAATAATAATAATTATTATTATTATTTCTAGTAATTTTTATGTTAGTTTATATAAATAACTTTCTATAGATTTCTTTTGTTCAAATATTTATTAAAATATTTCGCGTCTGTATATGTACACGTAATCGTAAACAAAAATATAAGCAAACTTACAAATAATACATATCGTTAACAATTAATCCATACATCATAATTCTACTAATATATTCACTTACAATTACATTATTCATATTTAATTTTTTTATGTTTATTTTTTGTGTGAAAAATAGTTTTTTTTTTTATAAATATTCCCTTAATATCTTTATATCTCAATTAAATTATTTCACAAGCCCTCTGTTGTCACTTTTTTTTTTTTTTTATAAAATAAAACTTTGATCTCATAAATTCTAAAGATATTATTTATTACTACATATCACACAAATTTCTTTTATCATATAATTCTTATATAAATAAATAAATTTTTGTTTTGTTTTTTTTTGTTTTCGTTTTTGTTTTTTTGTTATAATTAAGTAGATCGCAAAAAATCATTTATGATTAATAGAAATATCATCCACATATCATCATCCAATGTATCACCACATTGATCGTTAAATTTATACAGAAATAAAAAGAAAATCACTGTTTGGGGAAAAAAAAAAGTTCTATATGTAATATCAAATAAAAATCAAATCTATACTTGTCATTAATTATGTTACTATATTTGAAAGCATTAATCATTGATGATTTTTTGTATCATTAAGTACCTTAAAATACTGGAATTTGTGTTATTATTACATGATAACAGAAGTATAATTCGATGTTTGATTGTTTCACAGAATTTTGTTATAATCCTATAGGATTATATATATAGGAATTCCTATATATATAAATATATATATATATATGTATATATATTCCTATATATAGGATATTCTATATATAGGAATATATATATATAAATTATATTCCTTAACCATTTGTAAATAATATTTGTAAATTTGCAAATAATGCAAATATACACATTTAATATTTTGTACTTGAATATTGAAAGATTATAACAAAATGAATATTATTACATTATTTATTATACTAAAACAATTACAGTATATAAAATTAATTGCAATATCATATCATAATAAGCAATTATTAAAGATACACAGTAGAGAAAATATTATTTAAGTATATTGTGGTCTTACATCTCTTCTAAAGTATTTGATTTTTTTTTTTTTTTAAATATCCCTAGTAGCACAAAATATTTACAAATATTAAATACGTGTGTATCTTCTTATCTTCTTTATATAATATAATATATATAAATTTCATGTCACGTTGTTTGTTCGCAATGAACTCCTAACCTACTAAACCGATTTTAATCAAATTTTGCACACTGTGTGCAGTTTCATTCAACTTGAAATATAGGATAATTTATATTAATATATATATAAATTACGTGTCACGTTGTTTGTTCGCAATAGACTCTTAAACTACTGAACTGATTTTAATCAAATTTTGCACACTGTGTGCAGTTTCATTCAACTTGAAAGATAGGATAGTTTATATCTTAATTTATATAAATTACGTGTCACGTTGTTTGTTCGCAATAGACTCTTAAACTACTGAACTGATTTTAATCAAATTTTGCACACAGTGTGCAGTTTCATTCAACTTGAAATATAGGATAATTTCTATCTCTATTTATAATCGCAATATTATTTTATTGCCAATTATTTGTTTATTAACAAAGAGTCATGATTATCTCTGTTAGTTCCATAAATACATGTGTATTTAATATTAAAAAGAGAATTTAATGTCTTTTAAATATTAAATACACAAGTATTTAATAGTTTTTAATATTAAATGCTACTAGAGATAGTTCTTCTTATTATGAAGTAACTTAGAGAATTAACAAAATGTGTCTAAAGAAAATGAAGAAGAAGAAAAAATCTTAATTGGAAAAAATTACAATAACAACAACAACAACAACAAAAAACTCATAGAAAAATGTTACACCAAATTTAAAGAAACCAAAACTTAGAGATATTTATGAATATGAAAAATCATCAGAAGTAAATATCAATCCTTCTCTAGAATTTGAAATATAATCTAAGCTTATAAAAGAGATGTAAAAGCTTATCCCCCCCCCCAGTTTAAAAAAAAAAACAAAACAATAATATTTTCTCAACTTTCAATAAATATTTGTAATATGATAGTGCAATTAAAACAATTAATTCTACATTTACAAAATATTGAAAGAATTATTGTAATATTATTATTATATGATAAAATCAATGTTTATCATTCTATTTAACATTTCATCATATTGAATATAAATAATGTCGTCTTAACGAAAGTCTGAACAATGAATTATCTTAACAATTACGAGAAGAAGAGAAAAACAAAAAAAAAAGAAGAAGAAGAAAAAAAAAAAGAAAGAAAATGTGATTCGTGCCAATAATTTATAAATGATGAACTTAAATCATAATTAATGAGGGGGCACTTATGTATATACATTTGTTGAACAAAATGATTGTTCTTTTTTTTTTCTATCAAAAAAAAAAAAAATATATTAAAGAATAGTTTGTGAAAAAAAAGAAGAAGAAGAAAAAAAAGAAATTGAGTAATTAACATAGCGAATAATTTAGAATTTTTTTTGTACAAACCTGAACAAACTACTTAGAATTATTAAAAGATATGTATTTTAATTTAACATGTTAAGTAAGTGCCAACACAACAAATCGATTTTTGTTCAATGTCTCACTTAATAACATGTTATTTTTGTCAACTAGAGATAATATCCATCATCATTTCATTCAAAATGGTACTTAACGTGTCTTCATTCAAGTTCTACGTAGAACACATTACACACACACACACACAGACAAAGATTGAGAAAAACATGTGTAACAGAAATAATGGCAAATTTGTGTTGTCAAAATCCAGTATAGAAAAATATTTTCATAATCAATGAAAAAAAATCAGATGCTCAATAATAAAAAAAAAAACCAAAAACAAAAATACATTCATCATCATATTTTCACAAACTTTTAATTATCATCAATGTAATCAAAGCCTAAAAAAAAAAATGAGAACAGGGAGAAGGGAAAAGAAGAGAAAAACAAAAAACAACAAAAAAATACAAAAAAAAAAATGGTACAAATCAATTAGTTCATTAATTCTTGATTCATAACTTGCAACATGAACATGAAAAATAAATACACAAAAGAAGAATAAAAAAAAGAAAATAATATTAATAATAAACGGACAGAATCAAACGAAAATTTTATTTGAATTTTTCTAACTGAACAGCTAAGGTTCTGTGGCGATGGGGGTTTTTTTGTTTTTATGATTTCATGATTTCGTGGTTATTTAAATGTATAAAATATTGGTCGGTATACCAAATGGGAAAAGACTATAATATGAATACAAACTAAGATATAAACAAATCGCGTTCAAGGACGAGAACAACGGCGAGATTTGATATTTGAATTAACAAACTATTAAGAAGTTCCTGTTATTTAAATAAAAGTTTGATTGTTATAGCTGCTCAGTCTTCATTTATAATTTGTGATATTAATAAAAGTGTGCTAAATGAAGCCAACATCATCACAAGTTGATTAAACACAAGTCATAATGCAATTATTTTGCTAATGATTCATGATAAAAGGTAATTACTTGTTAGTAATAATTAACGGATCATGTACACAGATCAACACTTTCAAATCTATTATTAACAATTTCGTTTGTTGTTGCAGTTAATTGCATTGAAGCTATAGCAGCACCCATCAATTCATCTGGAATTTTTAGTGGTGTAGCTGTAACATTTTCTTTATTATTATCTGTCATGTTACAATCAACTGAAGAAGACATTTCTGAAATGTATTTTTTCTCTTTGATATTATTAGAACCTTTGTACATCAAAACTGTTGGTGTCGTTTCATTACGAATTGGTTTTGAAGACGTAGGATATTTATGAATCGATGTTGCTTCATGATCTTCATTGATATTTTGTGATATTAATGAAAGTGTGCTATGTGAAGTCAACATCAGCACAAGTTGATTAAGCACAAGTTATAATGCAATTAATTTGCTAATGATTCGTGATAAAAAGTAATTACTTGTTAGTAATAATTAACTGATGATGCACATTGATCAATAGTTTCGTGCCTGTAATTGGCCATTTCGTTTGTTGTTGCAGCTAATTGCATTAAAGCTACAGCTGCACCCACCAATTCATCTGGAATTTTTTGTTCTGTAGCTGTAACATTTTCTTCATTATTATCTTCCATGTTACAGTCAACTGGAGATGACACTTCTGATTTGTATTTTTTCTCTTTGATGTTATTAGAAGCTCTGTACATCAAAACCGTTGGTCTTGTTTCATTAAGAATTGGTTTTGAAGACGTAGGATATTTATGAATTGATGTTGTTATATGATCTTCATTGATATTTTTATTGCAAGTTTTTTTATTATATTCATTAATCATATTTTGTCTATCCTGAAGAATGGGAGCTTCATTATATTTGAAATGATTATTTTCTGGCCAAAATGTTTCTAATGCAGCTGCACCTTCTGCATTTATATTTTCTTTCATTTCTTGTTGCATCATGTCAGAAGATGCACTATATTTTAAATGTTTATTAACAGGCCAAAATGTTTCTGATGCAGCAGCACATTCTGTTTTTATATTTTCTTTAATTTCTTGCTGCATCATGTCGGAAGATTGTTTATTTAAATTAAGATTTGCAAACTGTTTACTTGGAGGAGTAATATTTGTGAGTTGAATTAATTCATTTGAACTTTTTCTGCATAATGCAGATGTAGAAGCGGCATATGATTGTTCCCATTCCATTTGAGAACAAGAACTAGAAGTTGATGGTTCGTCAAAATTCATTACTTTATTGTTCATTGCACCACTCGTTGTTAATGTATTGTTAGTATTATTACCCCTACTTATGGGTTTTGCTAATTCCTGCTCCTGTTCCCTACGAGATACTTGTAGCCAATGTTTCTTTGGTATAAGTGGACTACTTGCTAATGTAGATGTAGATGATTTCAAAGCAAGTTTACTACCACTTTCTAATGAACGTAAACTATTACATGCTAAATTTTCATTTGGCTTATCATAATGTTGACAATCCTGACTTCCTGCAGAATGAGACTGTTGTTTTTGTACTGCACAATTTAAGTTATTTTGTCCACCGACAACATCATCCATTATTAAACTTTTTCTCGATTTAGGTTTTTTCATATCTGCACCACTATTTTTTGTTTTATGTTCTACTGAAGTAGTTGGAAGAGTTCTTTCTTCCCTTCTACTAGAGGTATTTACACGTTGAAACCTTCGTGGTATTTCATGAGATAACGCTGAAATTCTTGGAACAGATCTAGATGCATTTCTATTACATCTAATTAAACTTGCCTCAGGATGTTGAGGGCAATGTCTATTGGCATGTGTAAATCTTCTCTCACATCCTTCTGTGCTGCATTTAAATGGTTGTTCTCCTGTATGTAAACGCTGATGAGTTTTCAATTGTCCAGATTGTGTAAATCTTCTTGAACAGCCAGGATGGTCACAAAGATATGGACGTTCACCTGTAACATTCCAACAATTTCAAATATTAAGCAAAACCGAAATGTAATCACAATTTTTCTTTGCTAATTAAATACATTTATTTGTTAAAGAAATTATAAATGTTAATCAATTATATAATTTCAATCATTTTGTTAATGTAAAAGCAAATGTTTAATTCACTTTTTAAGAATGTCCTTTGATTTTTCATTACCACGTGCTTCTTTTTCATGAACACGTGCTTCTACACAAATTACATTTATTTAACTGAAAAACAAAAATAAATGTTAATCAATTAAATAATTTCAATCATTTTGTTAATGTAAAAGCAAATATTTAACTCACTTTTTAAGAATTTCCTTTGATTTTTAATTACCACGTGCTTCTACACAAATTACATTTATTTTACTAAAAAACAAAAATAAATGTTAATCAATTAAATAATTTCAATCATTTTGTTAATGTAAAAGCAAATATTTAATTCACTTTTTAAGAATGTTCTTTGATTTTTCATTACCACGTGCTTCTAAACAAACTACATTTATTTTACTCAAAAACAAAATTAAATGCTAATCAATTAAATAATTTCAATCATTTTTTTAATGTAAAAGCAAATGTTTAATTCATTTTTTAAGAATTTTCTTTGATTTTTCATTACCACGTGCTTCTTTTCCATTAACACATGCTTCTACACAAATTACATTTATTTTACTCAAAAACAAAATTAAATGCTAATCAATTAAATAATTTCAATCCTTTTGTTAATGTAAAAGCAAATATTTAATTCACTTTTTAAGAATTTTCTTTGATTTTTCATTACCACATGTTTCTTTGTTAGTAACATGTGCCTCGCCACAAACTAACTGTGAAATTTTTTATGAATTTTAGGTTATCCTAAATAATTTTATTATTAACAATAAATTTCTATATAAATCCTATTATAAAATAAAAAAAATACAGAAAATATATTTCAATTTATTTATAATACAGGGTGGAGTATAAGTAACAAAGAGGTTATTTCACATGAACAAACAAAAATGTAAAATGTAAAATTAAATTTGTTTATTTCAAATTTTTTTGTTTTGAAGGAAAAAAAAAGATTTTAACAATTTGTCGAGAATATAGTTATCGAAAAATGCTTTTAATTATTTTCGTTTCAAGATTGCAAGTTCAAATTTAAGTGCATGCGTTTTCAACAAATTTCTAAATTAATTTTACTAAAAAAACAGCAAATCTTCATTGAACAAATTTAATTCTACATTTTTTTATTCAATTTATTTAATAAAATCATCTCATGTTCATTTTTATTATTGTTAACAGTATATAAATATAAATCTTATTTTGTGTGTGTGAAACGATAACCTATTATTTAGAAAGAAAGAAAAAAAAAAAGAATAAATAAAAGATGATTTATTTTTATAAAAAAAAAAAAAAAAGATGAAAGAACATTTGTATCATTATTTAAAGTATTAAATGGTTACATTTAAAAAAGATTATCTTTCTTTCTCATCAGCGTATGTTATGAAAACAAAAACAAAAAACAATAAACAAAAAAAATAATAATAAATATTTTCTTTTTAACTCTGAATACTAAAAACAAAGAAGATAAACATAATACTTTGTTTTGAAATACAGAATCGTACCACGTGCTACTGAATGAAGGTGAGAACTCGGTACGTGCTACGAAATATATATATATATATATATATATGTATATACACGTGCTGTAATACTTACAAGGTAACCTTAATTTCTTTCATTGTGAATATAATAATGGGGTACAACATTTATTAAGAAAGTTGTTATTCTTGTTTTCCCCACACATTGTTATGCATATAAGTATAATAAAAAGAGAAATAAAGAGCGAGGGGGAAAAGAGAAAGAAAAAGAGAAAGAAAGAGAGAAAGAAAGAGAAAGACTCTTAAACAAATTTAAAGGACGCATGATGGTGGCGTTTGGCGGGAGCCTGACCACGCGTGGCGCGTTACCGTCGCGCCAATAATATTTTATATAAACAATAGAAAAATACCGCTCTCGTAAATAAATTAATTTTAATCAATTGAACGAAACGATGTAATGTAATTAACGATATGTCAAAAAAAAAAAAAAAACAATATGATGATCTTTAGAATAATATTAGCTTAGAAAATAAATAACAAAAACAAATCGGGGGATTTAATGGAAAGAAAAATCACTTACCTGTATGAGTACGTAAGTGGGCTTGTAAACTTTTTTCTCGAGGAAAAACACGATTGCAATAACTACATTTTATATGACTTCCGGATCTGATCCCCTGTTGCACTAGAAATGAAAGAACATCTGCTCTAGGTCTTCCACGTCGGCTACTGATTCTAGAATCTGCTTTAGACCTCCCTTTGGCCATGGATATACTTTTCTCTCTGTATTCGGGTGATGAACATGAGTTACTGGGACTAAGAGCAATGTTCCTCGCTTCTTCACTCCAGTTCCAAGGATAGAGCGTTTGATCACTGAATGAAGGGGTGCCGGTTAACGAATCATCAAATGATCGTGAATTTGATGTCTGCAATTCCATTCCGCCCTCTATTTTCTTATATACCAAATACTATTTTTTCTCTACACTTCCTAGAAAATATTAAGGAAAATATCTATGACACTTAAATGACCTCTTCTTTTTCACGTTTTACCGCGAGTCGCGTGCAACTATTAAACCGCCAAAAACAACTGTAATGGATAACGCCGTGACGCTAACTTTGCAAGGTACAGTCAGCGTCAAAAATACCTTATCATCATTTTTGCGATTATTCATTTATTTAAAAGATTCTATTCTGAATTTTATATTATACAATTTTCATAATATATTTTTATTCATATTTGAATTTTAAATGGAAATTTTTTAAATAAACTAAATGATAACAATAGGCTTGTTTGAAATATTATCGAATCACGATTACGCTTGTACTTCTACTCATCCGGTTATTGGCCGATCACATTTCTTTTTATTATTCCTAACGTCTTATTTGTCTAATTAAAACTTTACAATGACCAATCACATTCTTCGAATCCGAAAGAATTCGGATTTGAGATCAACCAATAGCAAATAATCTGATGCAATTTTGATTGGTCGATTCTCAACTTTTCTCTTGGCGTTGCCCAATCAGAATTCGTATTTTGTGTTATAACATTTCATGTACTATAAACTCTATTTTTTAAATATAATGACGATATATAATAATATTTTTATGTAAAGATACTGAAATTATTTCTTCATTTCAATTGACATAATTTGTTAAAGTTATGTCTAAAATAATTTCGATATTAAACGAAATTATATCGTAGATTAATATATACAAATCATACCAAATACGGCAAACGGAAGTAGACCTATCGAATAAAAATAAGTAAATTGATATGTTAAAATTATTATTAATATAATGAATTACTTATTTTCAGTTAATTTTGTCTTGTAATATATTATAATATAGATTACGTATATATTACTTTTATATAGACAAGCTTTAAAGATAAAGTTATGTTCTTCAAGGAGCACGCATATGAAATTTCCCGCCTATATTGGACTTCTATCGGCGTTATTAATTTGTATTAAAAATATAAAAAATATAATTTAAATTGAAAAATGTCAATAATTGTAAAGAAAATTTTTCAAAATAATCTATATAAAACTATCGCTACGAAATATTTTTTTCGGTATTCAGCAGATTCATGAAAAACATGCCAATTTTATCAAATACAACAACTATAAAAATAATTATATTTTATTAATTAGAGCCGGTATTTTGATAATTCTATATTACTAAAATTAAAAACTTATTTTTTAATGACATTTTTTGGTAATAAATTACATAAAATGATTCTTATTAAAAATGTTGGTGGGGAAGTGGCGCGCTGGGTGCAAGACAATTATGAGGTCCCTCCCCAAACGCAGACCTCGTGGTGAACTATCTTCAATACGGCCATATTGAAATATTGAATGTCTCTCTTACACAAGGGCTCAAGAGTAGCCGTGAAATTTTCGAATAATCCTCGAAGAAGAGAGGATAAGAGACATGGAGAATCAGTACAGCATTACTGTTACAAATAAATTTGGAAATGCATCTGCTTGGGACGAATCAGAAGATCCACAACTATACTTGCAAAAATTGCAAGAAGCTAAGAAAAAAGATAAGCTCGCCGAAAAGGAGAACAAGAGTAAGCAGACCGAAACACAAAAGCCTGCTGGAAATAAGACGCCCAAAACTCGTGTAATAAAAGATGCCCAACAACAAGTAACTAAAGTGCAAGAAGTTAAGAAAGATCCAGGTTAGTTTATTTCTTAACCATTTCTGGCCTCATGTGCGCGGTATTATGGCCGCCGGTTTTCTCCTCGTGGTCCCATGTGCTTTTCATATATATTTCTCCTCATGATCATTTTCCCTTATCTATTCCACTAGATTTGCTTTTGAGTATTATCTGCAATTAAAACTCTTCACAGTTTTCATACCGATTTTAACTTTAATGCTAGCATATTACATGTAAAACAATAGCATTATTACCATGTATACTTTTCATTTTTCTAATGACTCACATAATCTTATTACTAGGAATAAATAGATATATTCATTTAACTACAAATATTATTCATATTATATTATTTTCTTCTATTTTTATTTCACTATTTTTTGTTTTTCCATTTTTCTTTTTTTCAACAGCATTTCAAGTATACAAATATATTTGAACAGCATACAAGTACATTGTAGATTGATTATTTTAAGACTAATTACAACTTTTACAAATGTTTTCAATTACAATATCATTCTATATTTATTTGTTTTAAACAAATCTTGAGTTTAATAACAGTTACTATCATTCTTTAATTGTTATTATTAATTCGTCATGATGTAACATGCGCGCATACAAAGAACGCTTTCCAATTTATCAAGAATATCATTTCAAGACAAATCTTTTCTTATGTTTTCATAATTTTAATTAAATGTTATATACAATTAAACAATATAAATGTTGCATTTGCATGATAGGTGAAAAGAAAATAACGCAACCAAGAATAACTGGAGGTGATCGTAGCGTTAAGTTCTCTGGGGAATCCAGAGAAGAGCATAACAATAGGCGTAACCGTGAAGATTGCGAAAGAACAATTCGCAACCAAGGAGAAATAAGACGTGGACATAATGGGTTAGTATATCGAATCTATATATTAAATATTTAAAGCTTAATAACATTGTTTATAACATTTGCATATCAATAGATAAAATGATCATTTATTTTGTACTGTTTTATAGCGAAGCTCGTGAAATACGCGAATATCGTAACACCAATGAAAACCAACGTGGTGGTGATTACGGTGATCGCAGAGGACGTGGGGGCATGCGAGGAATGGGCCGCGGACGTGGTGGAAGAGGTGGTGGCAGGGGTGGTTACGATAACCGCGGAAAACGTGAATTCGATCGCCAATCTGGCTCCGATAAAACGTTCGTATTAATATTAATATATTTATTAATTAGTAGAATTGAAATGTTCCATTAATTGATTCAATACTAATTCATCATATATATCCTTTTTGTATAAATAGAGGAATCAAACCAATTGATAAGAAGGATGGCGCAGGAAGTCACAATTGGGGTACTCATAACGATGAGATAGAGTAAGTAATAAATCTATACGAGAAAAATCAACTTGATATATACTGCCATGTACATTAAGTCATTCAATTTCTCAATATTTTATCATCAGGGAAAGCTTAAATCAAGAAAATGTTGATTGGGTAAATGAGAAGCCTGAAACTGAAGTTACCCCAACATCAACTGAAGTTAAGGAAGGAGAAACATCGGCAGAGGCTTCAACAGACGAAAAACGGCAAGTGCTAAAGTCACACGAATTGACTTTAGACGAATGGAAACGCCGTCAAAACCGAAGGGCAAAGCCCAAATATAATTTGCGCAAAGCCGGGGAAGGTGAAGACTTGTCCCGGTGGAAGAAGATGTATGCTTTGGAGCGAAAGAAAGAAGGCTCCGAAGAAGAGGAAGAAGTTGAGGAGGAATTTGATGCAGCTGCTGAATTTCCTCAGCGTGCTGGAAGGCAAAAGCGTGTTTTAGGCATCGAAATACAATTTAGCGATGCACGACGCGGCACTGGAGGACGCGGTCGAGGAGGACGCGGTGGTCGCGGCGGTGAACGTGTCAACGGCCGTGGATTTGGAAATCGCGATGCTCCCAGAGATGGGGATTCTCGTGGTCCTACAGTAAGTATATTTATACATTTATACATACATTTATATATATATATGTATATTTACAATATTTTGTAAGGACGTTCTTTTGTTTTGATAGTTTAACTAACTCAATATGTTATATAATATTAATTGTGTGAATAAATCGTTACAGATGCAGGCGCCTCAAAACGAACAAAGATCACCGCGCGGTCGTCAAAATGCTCCAAAAGTAGATGACGAGAATGATTTCCCTTCTTTGGGATAGAAAGCTTCGTCTTTTGATTATACAATATCCCACTACCACCGCAGCCACCAACAGTACTTTTATGACAGATAAAATTACAATTATTATTACGAATATTATTATCAACCGTCTTACATCAGTGACAATATTATTAATGCATCTTCATACAGTACCTTTTGCAGAATGAGATACGTAATTTGAATAAAACTTAGCGCCCAAAAGCGCTGCTTCATATTGACACATGATTAATTCGTGCAAAGCTTATGTTAGTACAAAAGAATCCAAATAAGATTCTTAGTGCTTACATGAAGATTGACCATATGTAATTGTGAAATATAAAACATAAGTGGCAATATGAGATCAGTGAAGCAGCATATCTGAACGAACGTTGTTAATATAATCGTGAATTTGCTGAAAAAAAAAAGAAAAAAAGAAATAAGAAAGAAGTCGAAGAAATTTTTTTCATAAAGACTCGGATTAAGAAATACAAAGTCAAATGCGAGATCCATTTTACATAAGTTGAAATAACTTAAAGACTCTAAATATTGCGACATATATATATATATATGTATTTATATATATATTATTTCGAAGCAAATATATATATATATATGTATATATACATATACATATACATAATATTACTCTGAACGGAAAGAAGATTTTATCGAAAATGTATGGAAAAAGAAAATAAGTAAAGTAAAGTAAAAGAAAAGAAAAGAAAAAAAAAAAAGAACAATTTAAGCGAGGTAATCATAAATTTTAATTTTGATGTCGCATTGAGGGCCTAAGAGGAGGCTGAATGCAGCACCGATACGTATATAAAATTACATATGTACGATAACCGTGTAGCTATAAATTTTAAACACCCTTTATGTTTTATAATTTTTATACGGTGTTTGAAAAAAAGCCTTCCTGATCGCAGTTGGCAAGCGACATTGCTTACCGCGCGTAAAACTTAAGATTCCCGAAGCGTATGTTTCTATGTAATAAACGATTCTACTAAAAATGTTTACTTAGCTAAAATAAGTTTGGCTTATAGAAAGACATAGATACTACTTACTTTCCCTTCAGATGTAACCAATTTGAATCTAACGTTTAAGTGATGATTAATATTAGATTACCATACACTGAATGACTACACAGCTTTACAAATGTATAACAAATTTTAAAAAAATAGGAAGCGATTAAACTGCAGTGTAAGGGATGGCAGAATGAATTTGATAATCCGGTACGTGTTATACTTATTCGTAGCGATTGTCATATTCTTAATTATAAATTGCTATATTAGTTATTTACGACAGTTGTTATACGTTTAAATAATACAGCCAATAATTGACGTACACATACACACGACACATCCCGGTCCTCTCCCCCCCCCTTTCTCTCTCTCTCTCTCTCTCTCTCTCTCTCTCCACGATAAGGAATACTTTACGAAGCTATTTGAAAAGCTTAGGTATATGTGTAAATAACATGATATTTACAATAATAAATTGTGACAAGATCAGTCCATTTCATTCGGCCCTTAATCGAAAATAATATATTATGGACCAAAAAATAATATTGAAAAAAAAAAAAAAAAATACAATTTATGTTTCAAATCTACAGGAAATGAAGGAAAGAAGAATGAAAGGTATGTTATGATACGAATGATTTTTTAATATTTTTCTCTCTCTTTCTCTCTCCTTACAAATTACATTTAATCATGTATGCATTAAAAAGAGAAAAAAAGAAAAGAGTACGCATGAAATATTTGATGAAATACTTGAAATAGTTTTAAAAGTCCGTTAACATTAGTATAGAGTAAAGGAAAGAAAAGGAAGGAAGATAGTAGACAAAGAAACAAGATTGTTTCCAATTTGATCCGATGGGAAGCGCTGCGGTAGCGGGACGCGGCGACAAGTGCGAGGGGTATCGGTGATTAGGAGGGAAGAAGAGGAGGAAGAGGAGAGAGAGAGAGAGAGAAGAAGAGAGGGCTAAGCCCGTGAAAAAAGGACGAATGGTAGAAAGAGAAAGGGAGAGGGAGAACAGGAGCGCATGCCGCAGCCACGGCCCCCAACTTGCCCTAAACTCGTGCGAGCAGGCTCTATCGTCGGTCGAATTTTAATGGCGGCTTATTCCCGACTCCCTGTTTAGTGTTGTGTTGTGGAGTGAATCGATGAATACATTGTTCGATTGAATTTTACACACGTGCGGCCTGGGCGACACGAATGAACCCTAACTTATTGTCAAATATATAGACAAAATAAAAGTTTTCAATTTGTGTAAAATACAACGGTGTTCCCACCTTATACACACAAGTATATAGAAAATAATTCGATCGAGGATACAGAGGTTCACGAGACATGGTGCACATCCGCGATGTGCCGTAGCCGTGGCAATTCACCACCACCACCTCTCATCGGATTCTTCAATCTTACAACCGTTTCCTACGTCTTCGTTTTTACGTGGAAAAGGTAATTTTCATTTTGATACATTCGATACGAAATCAAATATGTCTTACGACTTTTTCTTTTTCTACTTCTTCTTCTTCTTCTTCTTCTTCTTCTTCCTACTACTTTTTTTTCACTTTCCTTTTTTTTTATTCTTTCTTCTTTTCATTCCATTCTTATTTTTTATTCGTGTCGCGATAATATCATATACAAGTGATTGATAATCGTACGTTCCATTTTATGCTATCAAGAGTTTAAATGTGTAAGCGTTTCATCTCTCTTTCTCTCTCTTTCTCCCTTTCTCCTCTTTCTCCCTTTCTGTCTGTCTCTCTCTCTCTCTCTCTTTTTCTCTAGATGGATAGACGTCTTTCTTTTGTTTTTTTTTTGGTGCTTTTACCCTTTGTTTCATCTAATCATTTTTTTGTTCCCCCCATCTAATAATTCGTATTGTTACGCCAAGGTGATAATCGTAATTCAAGGAAAGAAAATAATCTATGAATACTTGACAAGTTTTTGTATCACGACGGTGGCCGCTAAATTGCAAGAGACATACAAGGTCCTTGCCTTTGTGCAAAGACAGTGGCCTTATAGCTGTCAAGAGAGTTCTGCTGGCCACGTTAATGAAGGGCGGTGCGTGATACGATGTTACCTTAAAAGCGTGGAGCCATCTGCCTTAGTGTGTCTGTCATTAATGTTAAAATCTTTTTAAATGTTTTAACGTGTCATAATATGTCATAATAATTATATTGTTATTTTTTTGTATCATTGATTATCGTATTACTTTCATGATAATGTAATTAACATGTCAGACGATACATCGATTACTTTCACTAATTTCAAACAAATGTAAACATATATTTTATTAAAAAACATGTGTAGAGATCAAATTTACATTGAATTTTTCATAAATTAATTAACAATGAATGTTACATTTCTATTTTTATTATTAAAGTGGGGTTAAGAGAACGTCATGCTAATAATGCTAATAAACAACAATCTTAAATTCTACATTTTAAATGATATGCATACATTTATATAATTACATAAACAAAAAAACAAAATATTTACATATTTGTCTTACTAATTAATTGTTTAAAACTTTGTTTATTTTGATACTTATTTTTGAATTTTGTATTATTGTTTCAGGGGTACCGGACAGTGAGCATCATGTCGGTACCTGGCCATACACATTGCTGGTAGTAACGTGTTCATATTGGCGTTCTACCAGCGGTTATTATACCCTAACTATACCTATTAAGCTTCCTACCCTAGCCTTGCATACGCACAAACGCACACGCCTAGCGTGCGCGCACGTGCTTTGCTAGGTGTCGTATACACACCATGAGATTCCTGGAGTATAGAACATTTTCTATTTCATCAATATTTTCACCTTGCTGCTTGCTGCAACCGTCCTTCCATGGATCATTATTTTCGTCCATGTCTGTTGCCACTTGGTTTTTAGTGGTATTGGTAACTGCAGCAATAGACACCCCTGCTAGTACTACTGTACCACCACAAGAGAATAAATCACCACACATTGCTGCACAATTTCCTGCTGAAGAAAGTCAACAATATGGATTTTATGCCTTAGATCCAAATACAACGAGAGAAGGTGCCCTACGATTTAATCATCTAGCCATAGATCCTGTCACAAAGAGACTCTATATTGGGGCTGTTAACAGACTCTTACAGCTTGATTCAAACCTTAAGCTCGAAGAACATGTTTCAACAGGTAAATTCATCTTTAATGTTTAACATGCATTCTCATTTATACAAAATCTTGATATTCATTTCAAAAGTTTCAATTCGTTTGTTCTTTTTCTTTTTGTTTTTTTATATATTTAGGACCAATATTGGACAATCCTCAGTGTCATGCTACAGGCTGTTCTCCAAGAGATACAACAACATTAATGAACAACGTAAACAAACTTCTCATTGCTGATCTCGAATCACGGACCTTAATTGCATGTGGTTCTCTTCGTCAGGGTGCTTGTGAAAAGTACAAAATGTCAAACATAACTACTAAGCCAGAATTTATTCCTCTCAGTGTAGCAGCTAATGATGAAACCTCTTCTACGTATGCTTTCATTGGTCAAAGTTATAATCCATGGGGAAAAACAAATATCCTATATGTAGGTACAACATTTACCAACAAAGGAGACTATCGGCACGATGTACCTGCCATTTCGAGCAGAAATCTTCGTAATTTAGAAATTGCTGAATTTTCATTTACCAAACAATCGATAGTATATATAGATGTTAAATATAGAGATCATTTCTTAGTCAAATATGTCTATGGATTTAATGCGAGTGATTACGCATACTTTGTATTAGTACAGAAACAATCTTATCTTCCTGAGCAAGAAGAATTGGGATATACATCTAGATTAGCAAGAATTTGTATAAGTGATCAAAATTATGATAGTTATACGGAAGTGACATTGCAATGTACGGTAGATCTAGGAGATGGAAAACAACATCTTTATAATTTAGTACAAGATGCTAAGGTTGCATCAGCAGGAAGCGATTTGGCAATGCAGCTTGGAATATCTGTTGGTGATCCTGTGTTTGTTTCTGTGTTTTCTCCGAGCAAAGGTATTACAAATGAACCTTTGTCACGCTCAGCAGTTTGTATCTACAGTCTACAGGAAATTGAAACGAAATTTAATGAAAATATTCATATGTGCTTCAATGGTACCATCAAATATCGTAACATGGGTTACGTGAGTGGTCCGATACAAGATGGAAAATGTCCTTCGGCCGGTGTAAGTATAAATATAATATATATATAGATATACGTATTTATCATTTTAACAAATATTCGCATATTTTGTTGTTGTCATCAATTTGTTACAGAATACCGGAAATATTCTTAATTTTTGTGAAGTAGGCTTGAAAATTTCTGGCGTATCACCTATTGTAAGTCAAGCAATTTTACATTTTCCTGATACATTTGTGACTTCTGTGACCGTAGCAAATACAGAAAGCCATACAATAGCATTTTTTGGAACTGACGATGGTGTATTGAAAAAAGTTTTACTTTCTGCAACTGAAGCATTTGTTTATGAAAGCATTGTAATTGACAAAGGTCAAAGATTATTACCTGATACAGCAATCTCTCCAGATGGAGAACATTTATATGTATTGTCAACATCAAGAATTTCAAAAGTCAAAGTAGAACATTGTAGTAGTTATACAAATTGCAGTAGTTGTCTTGATGCAAAAGATCCTTATTGTGGTTGGTGTTCCTTGGAAAAAAGGTAAATACAAATTTATTTATTACTACTCATTGTTTCGCAAATTATTAAACATTTTGTTAATTGTTTATAATTATATTTTATTTCATATAGATGCACAGTTAGAGGTGATTGTCAAAAAGCAAGTCATAGTAGTCCAAGATGGTTGTCCTTAGGCACTGGTCAACAGTGTATTGATTTTGAGCAAGTGTTTCCTGATCATTTGCCTATCAATCAGATGATTACGGTTCAGTTAACAATTAGAACATTACCCGAATTGCCAGCAGGTGCTAATTACAAATGCGTTTTTGGCAATGCAGAACCAATTGATGCATTGATGACTGTTTTTGGCCTTTCCTGTCCTACACCACCTATTTCAGAAAGGCCTAATATAATTGATGGAACTGATCACGTTCTTGTGCCATTATCTGTTCGTTCAAGTGAAACCAACAAAGATTTCGTTTCACGCAATTTTGCATTTTTCGATTGCTCCAGACACACCGTATGCACTGAATGTGTCAAATCTCAATGGGCGTGCAGCTGGTGTGTATATGATAATAAATGTACGCACAATACAAGCTGCCAAGGTATAATATCAGGAGAAAATGTAAGTGTGCTGTTGATATTCCTTATATTTTCTTCTTAAAATCAATTTTTCATATTTTTTATTGTATTTTTATTATGTATAGAATCAAGCACATCTTGCTGCACACGGAGCTCAGTACTGCCCTAGATTCGTACCACAGAAGGAACCTTTGATGTTACCAAACAGTGTACCTAAAGAAATCATTTTAGAAGTTGAAAATTTACCACATCCACAAGTTGGCCACAGTGGTTTTCAGTGTATCGTTACGATAGAAGGAGCTAATTTAAAAGTTCAAGCAAGAGTTGATAGCAGTCGTTTTATAGTTTGTGACAAAACAGTATATTCATACGAAGCATTTACGGGAAAATATAAAGCTGAAGTAACCGTCGTTTGGAATGCCAATCATTACGTAGATCAGACAAAAATAATACTTTATAAATGTGAAGTACTTGGATCCCATAGAGAGCATGCAGACTGTTCTCTCTGTTTAACGAGAGATCCACGATTCGAATGTACATGGTGTGGGAATAGTTGTGTGTATAAACATTCTTGTTTGCATGCATTATTTACAGAATGTCCAAAACCTAGGATAGACATGATCAAGCCCCTAAGTGGGCCAATTGAAGGTGGAACGTTAGTCACCATAGAAGGCAGTAATTTAGGATTAATGAAAAGTGACGTTGAAGGAAAAATACATATTGGAGATACCCCATGTACTTTGATGGACTATGAAGTGTCCGTTCGTATTGTTTGCCGAACAGGCCAACATGAAGCAACGGATACAGCTTCTGTAGTCGTTGGTAATGACGCTGGATTTACAGAAAGTGCGGTGTTGTTTAATTACAAAGATATACGTCTAACTGGTATTTATCCATCTGTTGGTCCACAAAGTGGTGGTACACAACTAGCCATTACTGGTATGTATTTAAATATTGGAAGTACGATATCTGCGTATTTGGATGAACTACCGTGTCACGTGAATGCAACGCAAGCAAGTAGTACAAGATTAACATGCGTTACAAGTAAATCTGGTCGTGTAAGAAGGATTCATAAGTTAACTTTATCCATTGACGGAGCAAATCGTACATTGGTAAATAATCCATTTAATTATACACACGATCCAACTATAATGGAGATCAAACCATTGAAAAGTTTTGCTTCTGGGGGACGAATGATAACCGTTCACGGTACGAATTTGGATACCATTCAAAAACCAGAAATGGAAGTTTATTTTGAAACTGAAATTATGCCAGTTAATCGTACCATTTGTACGGTATTAAATCCAACACAAATGGAATGTCCAAGTCCTAGTGTTGCTGGAAGATTTGTATCTCTTCATCGTAACGAACGTACGGCAACAGGTATTTCACAATCTATGAGAGTTGAATCTCAATTATCATTTAAAATAGCATTTATTATGGACAACGTGGAAAGTGTTAGAGATTTGGAAAAGCACTTTCAAAGTCTTAGAAATCGTTTATTGTACGTCGAGGATCCGAAATTTTTTCCATTTCCACGTAATGTGAAATTGTATAAAGGTGATACTTTAGTAATCGAAGGAGAAAATTTAAATTACGCAAGTGATGAATCTGACGTCAATGTTACCGTTGGTATGATGCCATGTAACGTTACTTCCCTTGCATTGTCTCAATTGGTGTGTACACCACCTGATCAACAACCCGATTCTACCGATGAACTTGGAATAAAAACCGAAAATGGTTTACCCTTGGTAGTAGTACGTGTTGGAAAGAGTTTACGATTTCCTATCGGGTATCTTCATTACGAGGTTATCAAATCTTATCCAATACCACCGGAAGCAATAGCTGGTATCGCTGCTGGTACATTTGGTCTTATATTCTTGTTCATTTTGGTGTTAATCATTTATAGAAGAAAAAGTACACAAGCCGAAAGAGAATATAAACGAATACAAATACAAATGGATACTCTCGAAAGTAACGTTAGAATGGAATGCAAACAAGCATTTGCCGAATTACAAACTGACATGACAGATCTAACAGCTGATCTCGAATCGTCCGGCATACCAACACTCGACCATAAAAATTATATTATGAAAGTCTTTTTCCCTGGTGTTATAGATCATCCAATATTGAATGATCAACGATCACGCAGCAATGTCTCTCGCACAAATTATGATGCTGCAATGGTGCAATTTGAACAACTTATTAATAATAAATACTTTGTATTAACATTTATTGAAACGTTAGAGGCACAAAAGGATTTCAATATACGTGACAAAGTTAACGTTGCTTCATTATTGATGGTAGTGTTAATGGGAAAAATGGAATACGCAACTGATATACTTATGAATTTATTACTTAGACTGATCGAGAAAGCGGTTAATACGAAACATCCACAACTTATGTTAAGGAGGACAGAGTCTGTAGTTGAAAAAATGCTTACCAATTGGATGGCACTTTGTATGTATAATTATTTGAAAGATTACGCGGGTTCGTCGTTATTTTTATTATTCAAAGCTATTAAGCATCAAATAGAAAAAGGTCCTGTGGATGTTATTACACACGACGCACGTTATTCCTTATCCGAGGAAAGACTTTTACGTGAACAAATAGAGCACAGTGTTGTGACGTTGCACGTTGTTCAAGATGATTTGGATGAAAAAATTCAGTGCAAGGTTTTAGATTGCGACACGATAAGTCAAGTGAAATCTAAAATTTTGGATGCACTATACAAAAATACTCCATTTTCGTTAAGGCCGTCCATTCATGATGTAGATCTAGAATGGAGACATGGTCGTGGTGGCCATTTAACACTTCAAGATGAGGATCTGACTACCAAATGTAGCGGCGAATGGAAGAAGATAAATACGTTAGCTCATTATGGTGTCAAGGAATCTGCTGTAATGTCTCTTATTCCTAGACAAAATGATGGCTTTCCTGTTTCTTGTAAACTACCATGTCATGCCTGTAAACCATCCCATTATCATCATCAACAACAACCGATCCATCATCATGGTCATCATCATCATTTACATCGGCATGCAAATCATTGTTCGTCCACTCATCTTCCATCCGCACCAAATCACAGCTTAATAAGTCCTATAATGTATAACCATCCTGTTAGCGGGTGTTATTTTGATTCTCAACATTCACCGCCGATAATAACGGCGAATGGTGACGTCGAGAGTGGGCACGGAGGTAATCAACGATTATACCATTTGGTGAGGCCTATAGAAGAAGTACACTATCCTCCTGGTATGGGTTTCACAAGTAACAAACACCACCATCATCCTGAACGAACGCACAAAGCCATTCCTGAAATATTCTTAACGAGGTTGCTCTCAACCAAGGGCACTGTCCAAAAATTCGTTGACGATTTTCTTAATACGATATTGACGGCTAATGAAGCACTACCCAGTGCTGTTAAATGGTTATTTGACTTACTCGACGAAGCTGCTAAACAACATGGTATTGTAGATCCAGAAGTGGCACACGCGTGGAAATCAAATAGTTTGCCATTGAGATTTTGGGTGAATTTTATTAAAAATCCAGATTTCATGTTCGATATTAACAAGTCTACGACAGTCGACTCCAGCCTCTCTGTAATAGCACAAACATTTATGGATTCGTGTTCCATGACTGAACACAGATTAGGCAAAGATTCTCCGTCAAATAAATTATTATTTGCCAAGGATATACCACATTACAGAGAAAAGGTTGGTCGTTTTTATACGGACGTACAGAGGCTGCCATTAATAACAGATCAAGAAATGTCTAGTGCCATGCAACAATTGAGTGCGTCTCATGCTAATGAATTTGACGTGGTTTTAGCATTGAAAGAACTGTACAAGTATGTCAACAAGTATTATGAACAAGTGAGTTTTATGTTTGTATTTTTGTTTTTATTAATAATGTATTATTATATTTATATCTAATGTAAATATATATTTATTTATTTCAGATCTTAGAGGCCTTGGAGACAGATGCAGGCTGTCGCAAATTACACCTAGCACATAAACTAGAAAACGTAGCATGCACACTCCAAGGGGAAGAGACTAGTGCCTGCTGACACAACCTCCTACTTTCCATCCCAGGACCTATCGACCTCTCCAGAAACACTGACTAGTGCCTCCACTTCATGCATCAGATACACCTCGTTTACATATGTACAAATATACACGCCATGTGCATAACAATGCCGTAAGTATGTGTGATTTTGCTAAGGATAGCCACGTGATAATAGTGCACGGGATGTTGTCATAAATCCTGCTGCAGTGTTTTGTTTGTCTCATTAAAATTGTGCACTGGCGAGATGAGAGAACATGCATAGATATTGACACAAACAAAGTTATATTGGCAATTGTAATCCTTAAACCTAATTTGTAATATAAATATAGAGGTACTTTAAAATGATAAAATGAATGCCTACTGTAAAATATATTGACGATAAGGACGAGCGACTGAAATACTCATTTGAATCTCAATGATAGTGTATGTGTGATATATTGCATGTAAAACTTTCGCACTAGAGATCTTGGCTACTCAAAGATATTGTGCTATAGTACATAAAGAAGACATAGGTTTAAGGATTATAAATGCAAATTAATGGGATTATATATACATATATATATATATATATATATGATTATTAATTAGAAATTTAAATGTGACTTTTTAAATTCCAATTAACAATAAGTAAAATATCTATGCATGTAATTAAATAAAAAAAAAAATAAATAAATAAAAACAAAACGTATATATACACAACACAATAAATACGTGCAAGAAGAGAACAAGTGTGAAGAAGAAGAAGAAGAAGAAGAAGAAGAAAAAGAAGAAGCCATTGTTTCCATCAGACTGTTTGTACAAAAATGGTGTACGACAGCGAGTAGTCTGTGATCCGAGCACGAGTGGCTATGCCTACTATCTTCATTTACGATACATATAATTATTAATATGTTATATATAAATATATAAATATATATATATATATATATACATACACATGAAAAATATATGAAGCAAAAATCACGCAACACACACACCTCTTCATGGATTGTAGTGAGCTAGCTAGAGAGAGAGGGACTATATATGTATTATAAGTTGATAAATGAGATCTGTTGAAAGATACAGAATAAGAGATTAATATTAAATTAAAGACAATTAAAAAGTAACTTTAGCGAACAAAAAAATTCAAGGATAAAGAGTTATGTGAGCAGCTCGATCAGTTTATTAGGCCTATCTCTAATACTACGTATGTTCATCATGTTTAAGAAACGTCTCTTTATTTATAAAAAAAAAAAAAAAATCATTGTTTAGAATTCATATTTTGTTCATACTTGTTTTTTTTTTGTTTTTTTTTTTTTTAGGCAATCAATATGGATATGATGGAATATTATCGTTGTTGTGTAATTTGCGATCGTCGTTTTCAGAAGAAAAGAAAAAAAGAAAAGAAAAGAAAAAAATAAGGAAAAAATCTCAGTAAGATCATCATCATTGTCATCATGGTGTTTATATTTCATTCTAATTGCATATTAATATGTGGCCAAGATAAAAAAAAAGATAAAATGGACTTTAGTAAAAAAAAAAGAAACATTATCTTGACCTCGTATTATTAACGCGTTGAAATTTCAATGATTACAATTTACAAGTCACTATTGTCATTATTACAGCTACTATATTATCATCTCTATCATTATTACACTACTATTCATACTACTACTACTATTATTGCTACTATTACTACTTACTATTACTACTACTATTACTTATATACATATTATTAACACTGATCATTCAATAATGATGATTCTTATCGTATTATTGTTAAGAGAAACCGTATAACAAATGCAACAAAAAAAAAATGTTTTATATGATTGGGTATAGAAATAATATACACACACATAGTAAATATATTTTTTTTCTTTTTTATTTTATTATTTGATTAGGAGAAGACAACAACAGTATTGAACAAAATGTGTATATTTGTCAAGAAGCACTTTTTTTTCATCATCCATTTTATCAGATATATATATATATATAAATAAAAATAAGAAAGTCACGCTATCGATGATGCTCTAAATGCATTTAACACGTTAACAAGCGACGGGGTGTACCACCGGTGGTACATTTTTATCTGTCCCATGGGACGGGATGAGCCACCGGTGGTACATGCAGAATTGTTCCATCGGGCGGGATGAGCCACCGGTGGTACACCGCCAGAGTCAATCTAATAAATAAGTGATTATTGTAACTATCAAATTTATTTACATATTTATATACATAGGAGAACTATTTATTTTTGTGAATTTATCCGAAAACATTGTATACACAAAGCCGGCTAATTGTCGCAAAGAGTCGCCGGTAAAATGTCGTAATCGCGTTTGGCTTCTTTTTGCAGCTATGATAATGGGGCCCCCACGCATTCTGACAATTTTCTGTAACATTTCCTGCAATGCCTGGATATCTCTTTATAAAATGAAGGTTACTATCCTTTATTTGTCTTATTGACATTTCTTCAGTTGTTAATAATTTCTGAATAATTTTGTTCCTAAATTTCAAAATACTCATTTGACCACTATCTCATGTTTTGTGTATGTAATACGCATTTACTATTACTGTTCCGCAAAGTAGCTGTATTGTAGCTATACCATTTCACTGTTTTTCTTAAGCAACTGTAATAAGATGCCATTTGATTCGATATCCAAGTCAATTGTTATAATGCAGCTACGGTTCATGTACCACCGAGGGCTCAGCCCGCCCTATGGGATCGAGTACGAAAAACAGCCAGCCTCGCCCCACGGTGCGGCTGGTGAATTCAGGCCCCGTCGCGAACGTGTTAAAAACAATTTTTTTCTTAAGCAACTGTAATAAGATGCCATTTGATCCGATATCCAAGTCAATTGTTATAATGCAGCTACGGTTCATGTACCACCGAGGGCTCAGTCCGCCCTATGGGATCGAGTACGAAAAACAGCCCCGCCCCACGGTGCGGCTGGTGAATTCAGGCCCCGTCGCGAACGTGTTAAAAACAATTTTTTTGTTGTCGTTAACAACAACGACATGTACACATAGTATTCCTTTATAAATGCATTTTATGTTTAGTTTAATACATATATATAAGACTGGCTTTTTTTTTTTTTTTAAGTAACATTCTTGAGATGATCGTTCAATTCATCTCTTAACTTGTATTATTCCGAACAAATGAAAGAATTTAATGAAACAATTCAGCGCACACTGCCAAGGCTTTCTTAAATGCGCTAAAATTATCAAAAATTCTCAATCAGTTTGACAAGAAATAATAAAAAGAAAACAAAAAAACAGAGGAAGTTTGATGATGTTTTGTCAGTGGTAGGCCTAGGGAATATCTGGGGGCAAAAAACATTCTCTTGTACTTAAACAATCCTTTCAACCCCTTAATTGTATTTCAATTAATCTCAAAGTCCCCCGGAATCATCCCTCCCCTGCGACATTAATTAATTCATATTATCTCACACTATTATATGTATTGTATTTATTTATATTACAAAACAGACTAACTCTCTTTCTCTATAATTAATTAATTAATTAATTATTATTATTATTATTATTATTATTGAAATGTGCGTTAATCTGTACACTCTGCATCAAACATATTTGTTCGCATCATTTTTTGTTTGTTTTACATTTCTCTGTGCGTATATTTGTATCAAATTGAGTGCAAGATTGTATTTGTATGTATGTGTATACACATGATCTTTATTTTTATTATTATTATTATTATTATTATTATTATTATTATTATTATTATTTTAAGAAATCTCTTTTTTTATTTTATTTTTTTTATTTAAATTGATTATTATATATATATTCTCGAAAATTATAAACCATTCGAATTTAATATACTCAAAACACACAACAAAAAGAAAGAAAAGATGGTGGTTATTGTGAAAATACGAGAGTATCGTTAGTATTATTTTTGTAAAACGCATACATTCGTATGAACAAATGAGATATATATATATATATATGTATGTGTGTATGATCCCTTGTTCGCGAAAATATTGTAAAAAAAAAAAAATAACGAAAATATGAAACAAAAATAATGATACTTATTATATGTATGCTAAATCTTATTCTATCATACATTTTAACGTGAGCCTTTTCGTTAATAAGACAAAAAAATTTCATTAAGATTAAGACAAAAATATTTGATAATTTAATTATTATCTACAAATTCTTAATGATAATTATTATTTGTCAAATAATTTATTTTTTTTTTCTTCTTTTACTTGTATTATTTTGTTCCTTCTTTTTTTTTTTTTTTGTTTTTTTTGTAAACTTCAAAATAGATCTGAATGTGTTTTAATTTAAATTGCATTTCTATTAGGTCGAGTCATAAGTAACTTCCGATGCGACTATGTAAAATCTATTTTTCGTATTTATCTACTATAAGTCATCGAAACAAACAAATTTTTGATATCACTGTATAGATGAAGATTCAGTTAGTCTTTTGTTAACTTTTTTATACAGTCAATTTTACATTTAACCATTTTTCTTAACCACTGCATGCCCACCACCATATGCACCACC